TGGTCTAAAAGCTTAAAAACAGGTTGATAAAAGGGCCTAAACGTACTTGATTTCTACCTCAACAAAAGTAGCAAATAAGAGACCCTCTGTGTAATTTAATTAGACACTCAGGTGTGTGTTGTAAGTTACGGGGAGGCCGAGATTTGTTTGAATGTCCTGTTTTTATTCTGAAACAACCTGGTCATCCTACTCTGGGCCTGACTTTTACAAACACAAATCAATGACTAGCCTATGCCTATATTAACTAAGCAAATCAGGTTAAGATTAGGTTTTTCTGGGTTTGGACTATCATGTGGTCCATAATACAAATTAAAAATAGCCATAACTTAAGCCTAATTATTAATACCTCAAAAGTTAATTAGGAATAATTACTTACCTTTAACTTTAAACTGTATGTAGGCCTATAAATAAATAGTAAACTTAAACTTAGTAACTTAGTTGAAGTGAAGGAGGAGAGTGATGAGGAAAGCACATAAACATAAACAATAATAACAAACGGCAGCCGACAGCCATACAATAACGAAAGTCGAAACGATACGATAGTGATAAACTTAGTACGAGTACGATATTCCACCTTCAACAGATCGCTCAATCGATTACGTCAACAACTTTTTTTCTGACAGCTGACGTCATCGAATCCTCTTCTGTACCTCCCTTGAGTAAATCCCCGCTTTGTACGAGCGTTTGTTTGCGGGATCACATTCACATAGCTATTTTGGAGGGGATTGCTGGTGAATCCTGGGGGTTTTGCGGATTTTATAAGCTTTCCAACCATATGCTACACTATTGAGGTTTAGATATTTTTTTGTTTGTTTTAGTGGTTTGAATACCAGAAAACAGGGAACTTTTTTACTGTTTTTACTGTTCAAGCTGAAACAAAAATAAAACTTTTGCTTAATACATGCCGACTTTCTATGTTTTAAATGTTAAAGACACCATGCTTTGTAGTCTTCAAACCATTAAAGCGTACATAAGCAGACATAAACCTCAATAGTGTAGCATATCGTTGGAAAGCTTATAAAATGGCGCAGTTTTTAACATATTCCGACACTTTCTTGTATACAGGGTGTGAAAAATGCAATAGACCATTGTTTTTTAAGTTTTTATCAAATATCTTAATTTTTATCTTTGAATCTATTTACAATGGAGTTTTTAAAACTGATCCTCCGTCATTTTCCATTATTCTTGTTCAAAATTTAATGTAGAACACGAAAATGATATTATCTACTCAAATCCATATACAGGTAATTGAGAAATCGCTGTATTAAGTTTAAAAGCATGGTTATTTTTGAAAAACATAAAATAATTTTTTGGGACGCTAATTTTGAGACTTGGAACATTTGATATGCATCATCACACTTCATTTACTTTGTACTTACACCAAAAAAATTTTGTCACACTAAGTACAAATCACCCTGTAGATTACTGCAAAGCTGATACCAGTGATAGTTAGAATTAAGTGTTGATAATAAACAACAAATACTGTAAAGTAAAAAGGTAAAGAAATAATAATTTTACAACATAGTCAATTATCAACATAAAACTTTATTTTATATTATTTTCACAGTATTAAATTTTCTTTACTTAATATACATATAAAATCTTTTGCCATTAATTTTGGGATTAAGGTTTTTGCGCCTAAAAAAATATCTTTGGAAAATTAAATTAAATAATACTCCATTATAATATGACCAAGTGAGTTTGCTCTTATACTGAAAGCTTGCTCAAAAAAGACTAGATAAAATTACAAGTTAATAACAAGAAACTTTTTTACAGTTTTAAGGTATCCATTAGTTTATTATTAAACAAAGATTCAACTAATGTCAAATAATAGTTGTGAAAAAAAATCAATGTGAAATCCAGAAATGTTTCAAAGGAAACCAACTTATCTAATTGAACAAACCAATTCATCTAATAATTGAAACCGAAAACCTGTTTAGAAAATTTAATTGCATGTAAATTATTCATTATCACAAAAATATGTGTTCACTAAAAGCTTAAATAAAATAACAGTGCTGTTTAACACATATTTACAATATTCTTTATAACAAATTAACGTTTCCAGCTACGAAAGCGTAAAAACAGTAATTTGAACAGATTTGGTCTAACAAGTTAAACAGGTATTAAATCTATAACACAACAAATCTAAAGTATGTAGATATAAAAAAACCAACAATAGATGGCTACTTTCTACCTATACTTTAGTGCAACTTGAAAGTGTACACAATAACTAATTTATACTATTTACAGTTACTTGTTACCCTGACTATTTTTGTACAATACAAACAAAAAAACACACAACTAGTTGTTGAAGAAACACAGTTTTTTAGTATGAAATTAAAAATAACACCAATTGTATAAATCATTATTAAATACTAGATGAGACACAGTCAGACTGTGCACCATACAACTTACAGGTCGACCAACAGTGAGAATTAACATCCGGAATCCAAAATTTTAACGAGACCTTCCCTGGAGGACCAAAACCGTCTCAGGGATCTGGTCAGAAATCGTTGGGGGACCTGGTCCGAAATCAAAGAGAACCGCTTCTGTGAAGGAGTGGGTGATTGTGGGAGAGCCCCTCACGTAGACAAAAATTATAAAATAAATTTTATAATTATAAAATTTAAACTGCCATAACCTAACCTAACTTGCTGATAATTTAAAAGAGATATGAGATAAAAATCGAATGAAGGTTTACTAATAACTAAAAATAATTCTGTTCATAAAATAAAATGATAAATGCCTCAAATTCTTACAAAAGATGTAGAGTTAAGAAGTAGGCCTAATTGCATGCTAAGCAAAATCTTAGACAAAAAAGTTAGTGTGACTGGTGGGATTCGAACCCGATACCTCATGCTTACTAGTCAAGTAGTAAGCTACCCATTAGACCATGAACACCGTTGATTTCACTCGGTATCGTTTGTACAGTTCGGGCGTTCCGTTCCAGGGAAGGTTTCGTAAATTTTAGACCAGGAAGCATTAAGGACAGAAACCTAATTTCAGTCCTCATAATTTATTTGAAAAATTTAATTAGAAAAGTCAAAATCAAAATCATACCGGTAATTAGGATTGGAATGTGACACTAATTGTAACATATATTATAACCCCATTCAAAATCAAAATCAAGATAATCTTGGAGTAACAACTTTACATACCCTCCCCCTCCTCACCCTGTTGTAAATGGACTTAAATTATGTAGAATGATAAAGAGAAAGGTGTTTTAGGTACAAAGTTTTACTCAATACAAAACAACAACATAGCTTTCCACAAAACACATCTGGTATCCATGACAACTAACTTACAGAACACATGTGATACCAAAATTAACTATTCACACAAATCATATTTCAAAACACCCCTTTCTGAAACACAATTTCTGTCGATTGCATGTTTTTAATTTGAGTTTTTCTTTTGATTGTTTTTTGTCCTATATTCTCAAAAACTGTCAATGAATACAAGTGGAACAAAAGTGTATTGAACTTAAAAGGAAATTTTCATTAAAGAGTAGCTTAAGAAATAGAATAAAAACATGATTTAGTGTTAACACAAAAAATAACAAATACTTTTAAGAATGCAAGATTCCTGAATAAAATAAAACAGAATTTTAAGCATTGAAATTCTACAATGCAAATACATTTTTCGATGGTGATTTTTTTAAAGTTAAGTAAAAAAGTTATTTTGCAATTGGGTAGAAATTTAAATTAAAGTACATAATGAGCAACAGCTGTGTAATGGTTTGAAAATTGTCTGGGTAGCCGAGTGGTTATAGTGCTCGCTTTCAAATCTTCAGGTTCTGAAAGAGATTGTTTCCAAACCCAGATGCCTTTTTTTGTCATTGGGCTATGAATTAATGATGCTATCCAACAAACAGGTCAACGTTAGATCGTAACAAGACCAAGGTTTAGACCGTTCCGAAAACAAAACCTAAATTAAAAAAATGCCATTGGCGTAGACAACACAATGTTTAGTGTAAGAGTAAATCTAATAAATAAATAAATAATTAATGTGAAGATGTGCAAGCGACTCGAGCCGAGCCTATAAACTTGTGTGATCAGCAAGCACCAAGATAGGAAATCAATCCAAGGCAAGCTTTTACTATACGATGGCAAAAAGTGTCTGCAGCAATGGAATAATCTAAAATTATGTTGTAACAATTGACGTCAAGTTGTTGAAGATTCAAAATGTATTTTAAAAATAAGGATTATGACAAAATAACATCAAGCAATATTGAACATATACAAAGTTTAACTCCAAAAAGTTTAAGTTTTGAGTTTTTTTTTCAAAAGCTTGACTCGAGCTCAGCTTAATTAGAAATCTGGCTAGCACACCCCTAGATTAATTAAATTAAAGATACAATAAAGATACAAGGAAATACAATCAAACATTTAAAACGTTGTCTGTCTTTACATTCTGAATGTTAAAAGTAAAAGATAACTTGTTCTATATGTTGCAAACCTGTGTATACAGAATCTTCAATTAAAAATATATTTTTTAAGGATTGTTGGGGACCTTACCAAGCAATTAGTTGTCAGGGATACTTGACGTGTAAACCACCCTCCTTTCAGTTTGCTGATGATACAAGGATGTTAAACAAGGTACCTAATGTTGCATTCCTGTAGAACACAGTAGATTGTCATGTTTATAGATTTGAATGCTTTCAGAGACTTGTGGAATAAAAGCTTTTGTTGAACATTGACAACAGTACAGTAGAAACTAGAAAGTCAATAATTCGGATGTAAAAACTCTAAATCGTCAATTAACAGGATTTATCTCTAGCAAGAAATACAATTTTGAACTGTCTGCTGCAAAAAAATGAACCAATACCAATACCATCGTTGAAAAATCAACAAACAATTTGTTTAGCTCAAATGTCTAGTGTCTCATGTTTTTACTGTAGCCTACACATGTTCCTTTGAATTGAATAAGATACATTGCTTAAACATAAAATTGCTAATAATCTTAAAACAAAGTTTTGATCTCTAATAGTGCATGCTGGCCCTTTTTTTAACACGTACACTACACTACTGCAATAGTACTCATTTTTCATTCATATGGACCAGTGACACGTATGACAGCTGGTCACATTAAAATAGACTGACGTCGCATATTTGATTCAGTGTCCAATGTTATTAAAAGCTTATATCTTCATAACGGTCTATTTGAAGGTCCTGAATTTTCTGCAGTGGTCTACAGGGATGTCGGTCACATATATGTGTCACTTGGTCTCAGATATGATTATTAGTGACGTCCTATGATAGTTGGCAAAACTGATTTTTTCTTTGCTGTTATCACTGACCCGCGGTCTGCGTGTACTGTTAATGAAGTGAAAATTGTGTACGCTGAAACATGGATTTTTTTTAGTTGTGGGAATCAGAACTTAATTTTTTTATTGATTTAATTTTTTTTTATGTCATGTTATTGCTGAACACAATATGCCAATTTTAAAGCGAAATAAAGCAAAAAAAGCGTGTAACCCTCCTCCTCCAGCCATTAAAATCTAATTTATCTCTATGTGTAATATTAAAATGTATAATTCGTGCCATGGCAATGACTGCAGCGTCGCATATATGTGGTGATCGGTAGCCAACGTGTTAAGGTAATTTTGATAATCAGGATAATTTGACAATTCGGATGGGGTCTGGTCCCAATTAATCCGGATTAATTGGGTGTAATTAAGTGTGATTAACCTTAACTCAATTATATTTACAAAAATAATCCGGATTATTAACATTTTACTGTATATTAATTTGCTTCTGTATGAACATTATTTGTAATGCATACACTGTATTGACATGACACATATTCATAGCTGAACTTCTGCTAATGTATTGCAAATGTTTGTTAGGATTAAATTTAATTGAATTAGAATTTGTGAATAGTTCATTATTTTCTCTCTCTTTCCTTAACAAAATATCGTTTCACTGTACATTATGCAGTATACATGCTACAGTGGCAAGCATAGTGACGTTCACATGTAGAACATGTGAGCAAACAAATGCCAGATACATCTTACCCATCTGTAGTCTATGTGGACGGGCAAGTGCAAGGTTAAAAGAGGCCGCCAACCTCTTTAAAAAAAAAAAAAAAAATTACCACAAAGATCAGCATAAAATATCTTGTATATAAGACAAATATATATTCTTTGGTAAAAATGTAAATTTTGCGATTAAAAAATTTAGGGATACATTTTAAAATTCCATCAAGTTTTTTACTCACTCTTAACAAAAAAACTTAACATAGGTCAGCATAGAAATACCTCGTGTTTCAGACAGTTTTTTAATTCCTGGGTAAGAAATTAAAAATGCTTACAGATATGAAAATCAGGGTTTAGTTGCAAACTACTTAAACTGTCCCACAGCAAAAATTAAAAACATTGTTTTCAAACCAGATTCTGTAAGTACCTTGAAGTCTTAAAGAAAAGTTAACCTACATGTAGGCCTAAGGATTAAAGAGCATAAATAGTAAAAATTGTACAGTAAAAACTACGGATAACATAAGATGACTGCCAACCTAACAAAGTAAAGTAAATGATGAATGTAAATAATTTGACGAATTATAAGTAATTTAATCCTGTGAATAAGGTTGCTATTAGGTTTGACTGCAAGATGAAACTAGTTTGGAAATTCCGTCACCAATGCTTAACTCTGGTGTTGATAATCTAATGTAACATCACTTAAATTGTTTTTTGTCAGGTTTCATACTCTGACCACGAATACACAACAACTGGTAACTTATCTATTTAAAAACTTGTTTACGATTACTCAATTGTGCATTTTGAGAGCACAGTTCTTAACAGGGCAACAAGTAAGATATACACTTATATACAGAGTGACACACCGACTAAGACTATTATATACATTTGTAGCTAACAGGTTTTCCCTATGAACAGAATTTGGTGACTATAAAATTACAACACGTGTAGTCATTTTGATGAATTAGAAATATAAAATATTTTCTCAATTCATAGGTAAAAACCGATATAAAAATACTCCATTTACATCTAAATAGGAGACAAGATTGGTCTTTTTATAGTGTTGGGTTGTTAAAACTTGTCCCTCTAGTGATCTCTATTTCCTCGTAAGAACCTTTCTGGTCCAGTTCTAGAACTTGGAACTTCTTCAGGACTAAGAGGGAGTAGAACTTCTGTGCAACCTAAAAAAAAACAAATATCAACTACTTTACAAGACAGTTCAAAAATAAATATTTGTTAATTCAGCATGACAATGTTTTGACGTTCCTACTTATTTGAAGAAACGTCCCATATTTTTGGAATAAATTTAAGAAATCAATAACAACCTGCTTCCCCGACCACATAAAAGTTCAGTTCTGGTTGCCATTTCGTGCTTGGGTCCTCATAAACCTACACTTAATCAATTTTTGAGGACGTGTGTGAAAGAGAAAGAACATTATTTAAAAATGCTTAACCACGAGAAGAGGCGTTAGTGGACTCGGCCTTGGATACAAAAAAAAGGAAGAGTTAGGAACTTCTGCAAGCTGGTCGCAAAAATTAAAAGAAGAGGAATCAGAAACATATAAAAATGTTTTACGAATGTCACAACATACATTCCAAGAATTGCTAGAACGAGTTAAACATCTAATTTAAAAAAAATGTAGACAAGAGCTTTCGGGTAAAACCAAGTTGGAAAATATCTTTGGTTGCCGCTGGCATGCTTCTAGAGGTGGTCAGACTATGCTGCTCGCTGGCGTCAGCGAGTGTGAGTGGTAACGTGACATCTAGTCGCCGCTACTTCAGCAGCTGCTGACAAATGCTCACTGGCTGGCAGTGTCAGCTGCGAATTTTGTGGTCACATTAAACTGACAGTAGCGGCTTCTTTCAGTTCGCCGCTGATGCCTGCCTAGTGTGACCCGTGCTTTAGACAAACATGGGTGAATGGTGGGAGTAGCTATATTTTATGGGGAAAATCACAAAAGCTGCAATGACTTTTGAACTGTAATTTGTACAGCTATGTGGATTGCACCATTCTGTTAAGAGTTAAAAGGGCCATAATATAATAAATTTCAATCAGAATTATTCAAGCAGTTTTTGTAAAAATCTAAATTTCTGTTTTTTATGGGTTTTAATAGGAAAATAAATTTAAAGAAACCTGGAGATACCATGGATTTAATCATACGAAGCACCATTTAAAGCCAAAATAACAAAGAATTAAATAAACCTGGAGATACCATGGATTCAACCATACTGTAGCTCTGTACAAATCCACACACAGACATCACTTCAAAAACACAGACATAGCTTTTTTTGGGTTCGGGGTCCCCCAAATCAAATATTTACACCCAAAACTCACTGACATAAAAATACCTTCTTCATATAAGTATAGGGGGAGAAAGTAAAAATTAAATCCTGCTCAAACTTACCTGTTTCTTGTTGTTGCGGCCGACCAAGTCTGAGAAGACAAGTTTTTCATCGTTCATCAACTTTGCTTTCACAACTGTGTACATATGAGCAGCTCTTTTGTTGAGGACTCGTTCTTCAAATTGTTCATATGTCTCGTCTGTAGCCTGCTCTTCAGGCTGAAATATCAAAGACTTGTCAAGCAATATGCATTAACCACTGGTAATAGTGAATTGACTACAATTTGTGATTAAAAATAGACAGGTATTTATAATCGCGGGTTAGGACCCATTTTCATAAAAATCCGAATTTATGATTTGTTAGTTGAGCTTGAGTTTTTTAGTACTTTTCCTTCATGTGGCATTATAATATGTGTAGCCTATTATGGCTGTATTGATATAATTAAATTCCGTGAGCACTATCTTTTTACTTGGCAGGAAAACGCGGTTAGAGAACAAACGGCAACTATCCAAAATAAGTTTTGCGGACCTATTAAAAAACCAAGTATGATTGTCATTTTCCAGGTTGGCTGGACATTCTGTAAGTTCATACTTTTTGTTTTGTTTCTTGACTACTCACAGGTCCAACGGAGACAGGATTGTCGTAGTCGTCGTTCCATGGTGTGGCTTGCCCCTTCTCCGATACAGCTCCTGGCGTGGTGGCTGGCGGATGTTGTTCATCGTAGCCCATGTTGGCCATAAGCGGTGCCTCCTAAATAGACAATAGACTTGTTATAAAGTCAGAAGTTACCCAGTTCTTTGTTTACTGCTGCGGATAGATTTATATCGTGAAATATTATATCAGTTACTACTTACTAGTAGTTTGGTTGTGTTGCTAGCCTAGTGGTAAGCGTCTCGGACTTAGGTGCAGGAGGGACAGGTTCAATCCCCGGCACATCCACTTAACATTTAATCTCTCGTAACTTCTCTTGTAAAATGCCACTGGCGTGAAAAAAAAACAAAAAAAAAAAAAAAAAAAAACACATTGCTAGGTTTCTAATCCAATTGTTAGAAGGAAAGAAAAGAAACCAGGAACATGACAAGACTAGTAGCCTACATAAACTGGTACCAAAATAGAGTAAAAAGCCTCATCTTCAGCCTTATGTTTTCTGGTCAATGACTTCATATCCAGTGGCGTAGTGTCAAAGTTGGGGGCCTGGGGTGGCTTAGATGTGGAGGGAGCCTTTTTTACATACATACGTAAAATAATAAATACCATAGTAAACTGTTTATTTAATTTTTTGTTTAACATTATTTTAAACAGGGTACTAGCATTATTTATTAAAAAAGTAACCCATACAGTACCCCATAAAGTGCACAGAAAAAAATATCCATCTATACTATTATAAAATTGAGGTGGTGTCTGTTTGTCTGTCACGACTAAATTACTAAACCGATACAGCCAAAATTAAACACACCAATAGTCCACATATCTAGGAATGTCATAGGCCTATTCACTTCCCTGAGTTCTTCTCGGGCTACGCCCCTTGGATATCCAGAGTTTTGAGGTGAGGTTTTCAAAAGTTAATTGGTCTCCATGGGAGCATGAGAAAATTCACAACCTTTGTTTACCTTCGTGTTGACATTTCAATGCAATGCTTATTTTATTTTACAATTTCAGACAGCTAATCCAAACAAATTGAATAAAATAATTTACACAACAGAACTATGTAGTAGCATGGATAAAACATAGTCCCTTAGTAGTCCCATCCTTATGGAACAGCTGAAGCCAATTTTATTGTTAGTTCTGTCCGGTTTTCTGTAGATGTTGTGTTTTGTTTACAATTTGTTTCTATTATTTTAGGGTTAGTTTCTCATTATTTGTGTCACACTGTTTGGTTATATAGCTAGTGGACAAGTTATTGTTTATGATTAGATAGTTTTATTTGGCTAAGCAAGGTTTTAAATTATTGAAATAACAATAAGTTTATTGTTATTTCAGAAAACCTCGCTTAGCCAAATAAAACTATCTAATCATGCACAATAACTTGTCCACTAGCTATACAGTAGAACCTCTTTAATCCGAACCCCTGTAATCCGAACGCCTCAATGCTGTACTCTATACACAGTACAGTAGTTCTTTATTGTATACTGAATTTATTGATATACGCATTGTAATTATTTCAATTGTAATGTACAGTACTGTTTATTCCCTATGTTTACTACTGTATTAAATAAACAATGTATTTTACTTTATAAAGCATTTTTCACTTTTCCCTAGCTATTGTTATGTAAAAACAACAATATGTTCTGTAATCCGAACTATTCAATCATACGAACTATTCAATCATCCGAACTACCCCCGGTCCCAATTAGTTCGGTAAAGAGGTTCTACTAACCACACAGTGAGACACAAATAATGAGAAACTAACCCTAAAATAATATACCTAACCAAATTGTAAACAAAACACGACATCTACAGAAAACCGGACAGAACTAACAATAAAATTGGCTTCAGCTGTTCCATAAGGATGGGAAATCTACTAAGGGACTATGTTTTATCTATGGTAGTAGGTTTATTATTTGTGTCATTGATTAAGGAAAATTATGTTATATATTTAAATGTTAACAGTAGGAAAATTACAATGTAGTCATATTTTTTTGTTCAGATTTGGTAGATCTTTGTTTATAAATTGGAACTACTTAACAAATGTTTGGTTAAGGCAGTATAGTACTTCTTCCCGTTGTGAAGCACGGGCCCATTTCCCAGGTCATATTTTCACTAAATATCTCCTTGAAAATGTAATTTATATATATATATAAATGTGCTTTTATTGTATTTTGTATCACTTAAATGAGCTTATAGGTTCATGTAGGCTACTTCGACTATTTTAAATGTTATGTATTTTTTTTATTAATGATGCAACATTTTGTTTTTATGAGTTGGAGATTTGTAATGCACTCCAAGAAGTAACGAATCACGTTTTTTACTGTCACTCCTTTTAAGCGGGGTAAGTGTACGCCCCAAATCACATAGTACAACTTTGACCACAGATAAAAAATACCCATAGGTGCTATCAAAATCAAATTTGCTGTGCTTATTCTTTGGAATGTTTTGTACGCTATATGTGGTTTTTTAATAAACTGACAATGATAATGTGTATAACTAGTGCTAGAATAGAAACAAAAACTTAACAAAGGAGTTTAAACTCAACACTTACTTCCGGACGGTACAAAATATCCTTCTCTTCTTTTTATAATTTCCTTTTCAATTTCAAATTTTCATAATTATAAACCTATTATAGTAACTATCCAGTAACAATTATTTGAGAAAGGCTTTTGAATTAAAATCTAACTTTAGGGCAATTTTTTCAAGTGCAAATTAATTAAGTTAATTTTTTAAGTTTTATCACGATATTACTTAAATAGCCTCAGTTGTAGTCAATACAAAAACAATAGTATGCCAATGGATTTAGACACACAGATCAAAAAAGAAAAATACAGGAAGCACAAACAAACATACAGCGTTTACAAAAACTGAATGAAAAAATACATACGGGTAAAGTATATTCCGTGTGTGAGTAATGATAACGTCTTAAACCATCTCAAAGTTCATAAATAAGGGTTATTAAAAAAATGGCATATACAAAAAGGGGGAAAATACAAACAACTGATTCCAAGCAAAACTAACATTGGAGGAAATGTAAAATGGGATGGCTAACTTTTATCAACATTCAGGAATCGTACTTACAAAAAACGTGACATCACAGTAGAGAAGAAACACAGGTCTAATGAGATAACAACAAAAATTGAAAAAAAATAGGCCTAATGTTTTTTTCAAGAAGTGAGCATGAAATTGGTAAAGTTTTAATTTATGAACTGGAAAGTCTTAAGCGCTTAGGTGGTAAGCACATCAAGATTGATAAATATAGTTTTGATGGTTGTGACATGGATGAAATCAATAAACGTTATTACAATAACAATAACAAATCAAGTATGCAATCAAATCAAAATCACTTATTCAAATTTTTCTTTTACCCTAACTCGCTTGTTTAGATGTTCTCTATAACAAAGGACATTAATTTAATGTTTTGTAGAAAATTAATTTAAATAAATACCACTTGATAATTTTAATTTATGTATCTTGGTCACAATATACTAGGTATGAAATAACATATATCAAAACATTTAATATGAAATTAGGTGCATTTCAATTTTTTTTCAAATAGGCCTAGTAATAACAACACACTTAAATAAAACCATTTAACTCTGTAAGTGAACCTGAACCACTAAGCACTATGGGTTATTCAACCCAGCAAATTTTGTTTTGTTGTGAAGTATAAATTTCAAAAAGTCTGCTCGCATGATCAACCATTTTCAGCTCCCTAGTTGGCATGAATTCGCTTTTGAGTTGAACATTAAATATATAGTCAGCAAAATGCCTAAGACTTTAAATCCACAGTTTTAGTGGTTTCAAATGTTACCCTAATCATCAAGTACAAACCTGGTCGTAGCCCATGTTCTCCATGAACGGTGTCTGGGGAGCATCTGTGACAGGTGGGTCAGGGTGGGGGTTTACAGAGGGGTTTAGACTCTGTTCCAGCAGCGAACTCACCTGCCGAAAAACAATCAATTACCAAGGGTCTGCAGGTCAGTAAATGACAGAACATAACAATTTGCCTGACATTTTTGAAGATGGTGTCATTATGTCTCTGTGACCGTCGAAAATGTTAACAAATTTTTTGGCTGTGATTACAATAAATTATGACAATCAATCTATTATTTTCTTTCTTGAGAATGCTGTGTTCAATTCATGCCCTTGTGTTAAATAGAATAATGAACAAGAATGAGGAGTAACTCCCACAGGGTGTCCAGCGTCCCATCAAATAAAATTCAAGGACAATTCTAGGTTCAAAATTCAAAATTTAAAGAAGAAAACTTGTGGTTCAAAATAAGCTTAACTTCCTTCTTTTTACACCTACTGTACACTAAACAAATACCCTTCGGCGAATTACGTGATAATTTGATGATAATTAATTAATTGAATTCCCGCAATCGGGCAACATCCTTGATGAGTTCCCGCAACCGCAGCAACATCCATGAGTATTTCATGCGATAATGTCAACATTCGTGATGATTTCCCACGGTCGTATTAACATCTGTGATGGTTAACCGAAATCATGGCAACATCCATGATGAATCCCACATTTGTGGCAACATCCGTGATGTTTTCCAACAATCACGGCAACATCCACGATGATTTCCTGCAAATGAGGCAAGGTCAGTGATGATTTCCTGCGATCACAATAACATCCGTGATTATTTTTAGGGGTGTGCGAGTACTCGAATCTTCGAGCTTTTCATTATTCGGCTCGGCTCGAGGCATTTTGAAAAAGCTTGAAGTTCGAGCCAAGCTTTTAATACTAAGTCAAATTAAAAAAAAAAAAAAAAACACTTAATTTGGGTTGTAATAGAAAACAATGTTATCAGAATTCTACGTTGTTCATGCATTCGAGGTTTGATAAGCACGAACCTCAGCTCAGTCAAGACGCAATGATTATCGATCGTAATTTTGAGGAGATAGGAAAGAGACAAACTACCACCTATCGCGTTGTCTTTCTAAGCCTTGTGTGGGAGGGGAGATTATACCAACAAACGAACAAACTATTTCAGGAATTCTATTTTGGGACGGATGAAAGATACGGAAGAAACAAAAAGTGGTCACGTGTGCAAATGTAGTGGGCGACACAATAAGGCTGTAAACGAGTATCGTCTGCCGTTGTTCCTTGTTTGTTTACTTTTTCAGATTCCGTATCAAACGCCCCTATCTGCTATCTCTCTTTCTCTCTCTCTCTCTCTAACAATGTACTGATTAAACAGATTGTGGTTGACGACTTTTCTACTTATAAGTTTTCCTGCGGTTATTTTAGTTCAATCAATCCCATAACCTTTCTAATGTTTATCAAAATAATTAATTAATCTGTTTTGTATTTTATTTCCTTTAAACCAACCCTCCCCCATTTACCATCTGTATTTTATAGAATAAAATGTTTGTTTATAAAGTTTGACTGGCCACACAATTTTGTACCTACCTATTTTATTTTGTATAAAGTAACAGTTACTTTGATGATTCTATAAATATATTAGGGATGGTCAAGTCTCGAAATTTCGGGAAATTTTCGGGAAAATTTATATCTCGTTACACGAGACAAGATTTCTTTTTGGCCGAGATTTTTATCGAGACGAGAATAAAAAAAAAAAAAAAAAAAAAAAAAAATTAAAAACGCCTGCAGAAAGTCAATGCAATACCCGCAATACAGGAGCGTGTTGTAGTTGCGTTTCCTTTGCGAAGGCGTTCTTATTTAATTAATTCTTCAAATGTAAATATTATTTTAATAACATTTTAGAAGTTTTGTTTAGTGTTAGCAGTGTGAGGAATGTTTTATTACTATAAAAAAAGTCAAAACAAGTAACTATTTTATACAAATTAATATTTTATTTTATGATTTATTTTATTTTAGGATAAGTTGAACTCTATCCTAACTGATATCACTATGTTTCCTAATCGTAGGCATTTTTAATAATTTAGGCGTGATTAATAAAAAAATGTCATGCTGATGTTTTTTAATAAAAGATTGTAAATATTCTTGCCTATTATCATTATTTTTGTATTTAAACAGTCATCTAACAATGTTACAAAATCAGGTAAAAATTCCGAACGTGCATTTCCCTTTGTGTATGAGAAGGGAAATCCCGTCTCGATCTCGTCTCGAAATTTTATGAGAAATAAAAAATCTCGTCTCGTCTCGAACTAAAAATCCAATCTCGTCCATCCCTAAAATATATCAATAAGTGGTGCGTGCTGTAATGAATGCTTTTTATTATCAAAATAAGTAATGAATTATTAATTTTTGATAATACATGGATCATTGAATACCATAATGTCATGTAGTTTCTTATTTGTAACTTGCAAATAATAATAATTGATAGTTAATTCTGGAAAATGAAAAATAGTGAACGCATCAGGGTGTCTACTACATTCTGGATAAAAAATACATGGACAAATCCCGTACATTTAAGGACACTTTGCCGTAACCTTTGTCTGTGTCATTAGGACTACCGAATAATTTTACTGATTCGTCAAACTGTATTAATCTTGTTATTCACTGTAGTACCAGAGAGAAAAGTAAATAATAATAGATAAGAGTTAAAAATTACAAAATAGAAATTTATTGAAAGTAAACAAACATAGGCCTACCTATACTTTGGGTAAAGCTTTTATAGTGTAATAGAGAAACGCAATCATTGTCTCCTGCGATAGCGACAAATATCTCCATCAGTCATGTAAACTTCATAACATAGCTTATCCGATCCAGGCCGATTAATTTGGCATGATTCGCCCTGGCACAACGTTAGGTTCTCGACTACTTTTGAAAAAAAATCTTTAATGCATATTGTTACTCAATTCTTAGTACAAAATCAAGGTATGGTAAGCGGCTATTAATAAGCAATAAGCACAGAGTAAGATTATTGTATTTTCATTTGCAAAGTTAATATCGACACATAGCAATCATTAGTTGTTTATCTTAGGCTCAATTACATTTTCTTAATATATTTTACAGCTCTTTCAAGAATCAAAATACCCAGGCCTAGACCTAATTATTTAGGAGGGCCTATATAAACTGAGTAACAAACAATGAGGTTATAATAGCAGCAAAGTCACTATCATCATTGTAGTTCATAAGATTTTGATTGCTTAAAGCATACAACTCAATAAATAAGTATATGGGAAACAACAAACATTGAAACCTGAATAGCCAACAATATAAGACAAAGATACAGAAAATGCAATGACATAATTTGAAACCAAGCAGGCCTACATAGTGATAAAACATTAATGCAAACAACAATGCTTGTGGTTTTGTCAATTGAAAGATAAAATGTCCATAAAAAAGGGGTTAACTTACAAAATAAGACTGTAGATTATTTACATGTTTAATATGAAACCATAAACAGTTTTGAGTTTTATGGCACTAGGCACTGGCCGCGGCAAATTGAGTCTTCAAGCCGAAAGTACAAGTAAGAAGTGAAATTTAACAGCCAGCAACTAGCGATCAATAAAATTATGGCCCATTAAAAATTTAAGGACATAGTCTGGCATTTAAGGACAATTCCCGTACATTTCATGGCCAGTAAAAATTTAAGTACAATTCCCAGTTTCCCCGGATTTCCCGGTTGGTAGACACCCTGAAGCATTCATAAACATGTTGTCAAAACATTCAAAACATTGTCAAAACCTTCATTGCGAATGCGGTAATGTCCCTTATTAGTGATAGTTTCCTGCAATCGTGATTTTGAACTACGCAAAACAAGGGAAATCGGTAATTTCAGGCAGATTTTTATTCAATTATTCAAACATCATCAAAATTTACGAGTGAATCTACGGTTTCCACGTTGGCTGGACACCCTGTCACAACTTAACTTAGTTCTGATGTGTGATAAAAAAATAAAACCTGACATTTTGAAAACAAATAGGATTAAGTTTAAGACCCGTAAAAAATATGATATTTATAATCTTCTTTACTACAAAATCTACTATCAAGAAAACTTTAGGATAACATACTTTATTATGTTTAACTGGTTAGTATTAAAAACACCGAAAAAGTAGTTACTAAAACTTTTTGTATTTTGGTATTATCCGGAGGCCACCCTTATACAGTGCGCTGCAGTGGTTATGTTAGGTTGGGTTATCGTAAATATGTTTGTAGGACTTTCATTGTTTTGTTATGAATCGAACGATACCAGATGAGTCATACTTTTGCACGCAAAATCTCCTCCAAGTAGGCCAAGGTCAGGTCGTTGACCGCAGCCATAGCCGTCTCTAGTATAAGTCCGCGGCCTTCGATGTGGCAACGTCCCCATCCCCACCCTGGTCCAACTCCGCGTATTGCCGCCAGCGTTAAAACGTGCAACATTTCGCCAAAGCAGTTTTGGCTTAAATCTTTCTAAAATAAGTGACCTCCGGATAAGTACAAAATTTTGTTCACTAATATTATAGTATAGGCCAACATTTACAGTTGGCAGTATCCCTCTGTCCGGTCCCAAAAATCAATAACAAATTACTCTGCCCCATAGAGATGTCTACTTTGGCATGCAGATGTTGATGGTTACACTATGTGAGGACCACTAGTGCCACATCCACGTCCACTTAACTCCCTGACTCACCTGTTCCAGATGTGGAATACTGGTGTCCAATGGGAAGGGAGTTTGAGGGGCAGGAGTGGGGGGAGCGACAGACATCGGAGGTTCAACAGACATAGGTGCCACACTCATGGGTCCCGAGGGTCCTACTGACATAGGACCGGAGGGACTCATGAGGCTGGGCGGACCGACGGACATCGGACCATTAGTCATGACTGATAGAGGTCCATGGTCCATGGGTGGAACTGACATGGGAGGACTTACGTGCGGAGGGGCAGGGGTGTGGGGTTCAGGTGCAGGAGTGGAGGGAGGGTAAGCAGGAGCCAACTCCTCGTGGTGATCAGGCAGCTGCTGTTGTACGGACTGAGGCGGTTCAACCACCTGAAACATAGTTAATTGTTCATTGTCATACAGCTTTGCAAGCAATGTACTGGTATAGTTCGGCCGCTTAGAAAACGACCTGCGCGCTAATGCTAAACCAATGCTGGAGGAGGTCGTTTTCTAAGCGGCCGAGCTATAGTAAGTTAATGTAAGTTAGAAAACACAAGGAACTGCATTCATAGTCCTATTAACAATAAATGTTAACAACAAATTGAATTTACAATGCTAATTAGAGGTTTGGTTGGAGATTGTTTTTCTAAATGTGATTTTCAAATCTGAGATAGGTAGAAAAAAGTTATTTGCATCAAGAGACAAACACTGAGACATGGCCTTGCCATATAAGTTATTTGCATCAAGATACAAACACTGAGACATGGCCTTGCCATATAAGTTATTTGCATCAAGATACAAACACTAAGACATGGCCTCGCCAAATAAATTCTTTGCATCAAGATACAAACACCGAGACATTGCCTTGCAATACAAATTTTTTGATATTAATATTTGCGCTACAGCTTTGTGTCAATAAAAAAATGGGAAAAAAATTGGTCTTGTACAGGGATACAGACAGCTTTGTGTTAGTAAAAAAATCGGGGGGAAATCGGTCTTGTACATGGATACAGACAGCTTTGTGTTAGTAAAAAATCGGGAAAAAATCGGATCCATCAAAACAGGATCTTGCCCAAGATCCGGAATTTTTTGGATCTGATAGGGTGCTGGTTCTAGCTCGGATCCGGCGGATCCGGTAGTCCGATACCCGGATCCGACCATCACTAATTTATACATTTTCACATTAGTTCCCTGCTGATTCTCGATTAAGATAGTAGATCACTGATTCTTTTGACTTCAAAAGTTATATTAATTTTTAGTATTTACGTGTGGTGAAGTCTTTATTTAGGCCTACTATTATTTACTGTCGTTTAGATTACTGTAATTACTTTTCTTACAAATGAGTTGTGCAAAAAAGTCAAAATAGTTATTTGTGGAGTTATTTTAGCGTAGTGAATGATGAAAGAAAACATGCTCGTTGTGACATGTGTGGTCAATTATTTAGTTATAAGTTGACCGTGTCAAATCTTAAGCAATATCTTGATAAACAACATTCTATACAGTATATTTGCCAGCAACTGCTGGCTTGAAAATAAGTGTATAATGATAATGATATCTACACATTTACATACAGTGTGTAAATTTAGAAATATTCTGTTTGTGGCGTTTATCGTTAACAAAGGTTTTGTAATTTTTTTACATTAAACATATTTTTTAACCCCCCTAACAGGGTAGGGGGGTGACTTATTTTTTTAGCAACCCTCATTTTGAAGGATTTTTAAAAGTAACACAATGACGAAATCCCTAGTTTGATATCTCACACCTAGCCAAAATGGCAGGTATTCCAAAATTGTATTTACTGTTTGTGAAAAAGCACCAATTTCACAAATATGGAAACAAATCTGTATTTTTAAAACCGAAAAAGATAGAAATATTCTGTTTGTGGAATTGTTTGTTAACATAAATTACGCAATTGTTTACATCAACAATATTTTTCAACCCCTTTAACAGGGTAGGGGGTGGGGGTGATTTATTCTTATAAATAACAAACCCTATTGAGTGACCCCTAATTTTTAAGGGTTTGTCAAAAGAAATACAATGACGCAAACCCGAGGAAGATATTTCATCCTTAGCCTAAATGGTGGGTATTCCAAAATTTGATTTATGTGAAAAAACACCCATTTTGGAATAGCTGCCATTTTGGCTAGGGGTGAGATATTCACCTCGGGTTTGCGTGATTGTGTTTCTTTTAACAAGCCCTTCAAAATGAGGGGTCACTCAATAGGGGTTGCTATTTGGGTTAATATGCATTTTAGGGTTTGCACGCAATTTTTGAAATTGTATTTTTCATTCTACTCAAAATTTAACGCTGATTCCGAAAATGACGTTCTTTTTCCGCAGAAAACGACCATAACGCGGAAAAACGATCAAAACGACCAAAAATTTGTTTTTACCACAACACGTCATGTGGGTACTCAAATTAACCGGAATATTACTTGCAGATCACGACTATGCAAGAATTCTTTAGATCCGACGTCAAATAAGCGAGATTTTCACGAAAACGTGATACTACCAGCAATAACTCCAACTCACTAGGGGACAGGTGGGAATTCGGGGTTTTGGGCGGGGGAGACATCTAACGTGGTTTATCCCTTTGAGTGCCAACGTCCGGGGAACCGGACGTTTTTAAAACGAGCCAAAAGTGCCGACGTCCGGCCGACCGGACGTTTTTAGAACGAGCCAAAAGTGCCAACGTCCGGCTGACCAGACGTTTCGTAATGATCGAAGAGTTGTCATAACACCCGAATGGATACTCGGATTCTTTTAACCCATATATTAACATTGAGTCGAAAGTTACTAGATGCGATACATCGATTTTCGTTGGTCGAAATATCGAAAATTTGATTTTTACGTAATTTTAACCTAAAAATCGCCAGATTGCGCTCGGCATTTTTAGCGCGACCTTCGGGAAAAATCATCGGCATTTTTTGAGCGTTACTTTTATTTCTCACCTGGCACTCTAAGGGATATCATTGTAATTTAATATGTAAAAAATAATGGGTGATTAGTCGGGAGAATTATGGGAAGTATGCTTGAGATTGGGAAATTTTTCAGTAACTTACTAACATATTCATTGGTTGTAGTAGCACTGCCATGTTGCTTGTTAGGTTGGTTAGGTTAAGTTAGGTTAAGTTGGGTTGGTTAGGTTAGGTTAGGTTGGTTAGGTTAGGTTAAGTTGGTTAGGTTAGGTTCGGTTGGTTAGGTTAGGTTAGGTTGGTTAGGTTAGGTAGGTTGGTTAGGTTAGGTTAGGTTAGGTTGGTTAGGTTATGTTAGGTTAGGTTGGTTAGGTTATGTTAATTTAGGGTAGGTTAGGTTAAGTTAGGTTATGCTTAGTATCATCCCTTTTACCTGTTAAATTAAAACATAAACAATTATAATAAAAGGATCAGCTGGTATTTCAACACAGACAAAAGTTGTAGCAAAAATCTTAAATAGCATTTCAGATTTAAGTGAAAATTTCGCTTATTTGACCTCGGATTCAAAAAATTCTTGCATTGTCGTGATCTGCTCAATATTACGGTTAATTTGAGTACCCATATGACGTGTTTTGGTAAAAACAAATTTTTGGTCGTTTTGGTCGTTTTTCCGCGTTATGGTCGTTTTCCGCGGGAAAAGAACGCCATTTTCGGAATCAGCGTTTAATTTCAAGTAGAATGGAAAAAAAAATTTCAAAAATCGCGTGCAAACCCTAAAATGCATATTTACCGCTATTTTAAAAATACCACCCCCTACCCTGTTAGGGGGGTTTGGTGTAAACAATTGTGGAACCTTACTTATGAATCAATGCTACAAACAGAATATTTCTATCAATTTTGGTTTTAAAAATACAGTTTTGTTTAAAGACTTAATTTACACATTGTATATTAAATTATTGTCATTATTTTTACTTAGACTAGGGGTTTGCAACTATTAGGATGTTAGATATTACAATAAATAATTATATTTTCAAATTTTGTTGCAATGGCTAAAATACCTATTAAAGAGATTAAGTTTAGCAAATACGTAATTTATTTACAGATTCTTCATACTTTAACTACATTTGAAACCTTACAACACTATGAAATACAAACAAGACTATGTTTAATAACGTCCAAAACAAAATAAAAAAACCATTGCTGGGACGCAACGGTTGTTGACAATGGACCTTGGACAACGAATTCTCGACAACGTTTCTGAAATAACAGGATGCGGTAACCTGTTATTGGCGGGTGAAAAAAATTGCCGTTGCTGGGAAACAACGATAACTTGCATCTCTAGTTTCGACTTAAATTGGCTAGTAAGAGTTATTTGTTGCTGCAAATATTAATTTTTTTTTACTGGACAAACTTAAAAAAACAATCGGTTACCCTAAAAAAACTTTAATGAAGGACACAAAGACATTTGGTAAAAAAAAAACAGTTTTACCACTTTTAACAATTTTTACCTCATAGGAACAATGAAATCAGAATCGAGAATTGAAAATCGATTTCAAAGAATCGGGATCAGAATCAGAATAAAAAATTTCTGGAATTGACCCATTACTACTTACAATATATATAATTTGTTAAACTGGAGTACTTTACCTCTTCTGGCTCGAGTTGTTTCCTCTTGCGGCCTCTTCTTCCTTTCTCCTGTGGTTGGTCCTGGGCCTCATCCTGTCCTGGAATGTGTTCCAGAGGCATCTGATTCTCTCCCTCAGCTCCTCCATAGTCCTCGTTGGGCACAGCTCGGCTCGTCAAGTGCCGTTGGTAGTTCTAGAAAAAAAACATGTTTCTTTAGATTGGTTTAGAAGAATTTTAATTTAGCTATTTTGTATAGTTATGTTTCATTATTGACTTGACACAATTCATGTATACAAATGTACTGTTTGAATAAAGGATTTTTTTTATTTGTATTTATGTGTAAATTTATGTCTCCATTTAGCTTTCACCGCAGCCAAGCAAGCTAGTTCAAATCTGATTTTAGTGAGTTCATTCACTACTATCATTGACTATTGGATACTGACGATATAGACGTCCCATCTATATCAACTAGCTAAAGCCAACTTTTTGTTAAAAAAGAACGTAGTTGTGTGAGCCAGTCACAGAATGTGCTAGTGACTAAAACTCTATTTTCTACCGTATTGGTTGTTGCTAGCCACGTTTATGGGTCATAACAGTTGCTATAGCTCACAATCGTTCCATTAGTTTGAATTGGTAAAAAAGATTGTGTATTTGACAGAAATCAGTCATTTAGATCAGCACAACCTGTCGGTGGCTCACATCAACTACGACGATCTTGTTTAAAAAACTGGCTACAAATGTAACATGGGGATGAAATGACTAGTTGTATTAATAGTCAAAGCTACTATTCATGCCCACCCCTAATAGCTCCTGTCACACGGTGCTTAGTGACCAGCATCGTGTGACTGATTCTCCAACGGCTAGAAACACTCCCATAAGCTGGTACCTGTAGCTACTGGAGGGTTTAAACTAGGGATGGACGAGATTGGATTTTTAGTTCGAGACGAGACGAGACTTTTTATTTCTCATAAAATTTCGAGACGAGATCGAGACGAGATTTCTCTTCTCATACACAACGGGAAATGCACGTTCGAAATTTTTACCTGATTTTGTAACATTGTTAGATGACTGTTTAAATACTAAAATAATGATAATAGGCAAGAATATTTACAATCTTTCATTAAATAACATCAGCATAACATTTTTTTATTAATCACGCTTAACTTATTAAAAATGCCTACGATTAGGAAACATGGTGATATCAGTTAGGATAGAGTTCAACTTATCCTAAAATAAAATAAATCATAAAATAAAAGCAATATTAATTTTTATAAAATAGTTACTTGTTTTGACTTTTTTTATAGTAATAAAACATTCCTCACACTGCTTACACTTAACAAAACTTCTTAAATGTTATTAAAGTAATATTATTAAAATAATGAAAGTAATATTTACATTAAATGAATTAAAGTAATATTTACATTAAAAGAATTAAAGTAATATTTACATTAAAAGAATTAATTAAATAAGAACGCCTTCGAAAAGGAAACGCAACTACAACACGCTCCTGTATTGCGGGTATTGCATTGACTTTCTGCAGGCGTTTTTAATTTTTTTTTTTTTTTTTTATTCTCGTCTCGATAAAAATCTCGGCCAAAAAGTAATCTCGTCTCGTGTAACGAGATTGAAAATTTCCCGAAATTTCGAGACTTGACCATCCCTAGTTTAAACAGTTTGATACATTGTAGCGCTTGAAGAGTCACTAGCGGGTCACGTGACCACCCCGCTGTGATCTCTGCACTATTCCAGCTCTGTTTGACTGGAGCAAAGAGTATCGTGCTAGTTCTCTCAATTAGAAGAACGAATTTAAATTAAATTAATAATATAAATTAACCGAGAACAAATTTACAACTTCATATTAGAAAATTTATTTTTATGTATTGTCATTTTATAGTTGTAACGATTGCTACATCTCACATATATAGCCTAAACTAAATGTTTATTTTTGCCCTGCACTTTTTTACCAAATGTTTGATATAGGGAATAAGCTATATTATAGTACAGGTCGTACTATAAAGTAAATAGGTCGGATAAAGTAAATCCGTCCTGGACCCAGGACGGATTTACTTTATCGTTTTGAAGTCCCCAGAGGACAAACATCATCTGTTCAAATTCATATGTACTAGTATATATGTGTCCGTTAGTGGGATAACTCGTGTAAAAACTATCAGATTTTAATGAAATTTGGTACAAGTGTAGACCTGAGTTTATTCAAATGAGTTCACAAAACAGCATGATCGGACTATGAGAATGGGGGTTTGTGGCGGGTTTAATGGGGTAAAAATGAGTGTTACCCATTTTTTACCATAAAAACATTAAACTTTGCAATTTCTTTCTGGACTATTTTGTACAGCTTGGAATAAAATAATTTAGTATATTGATGTGTAGTTAACTACACACACAGTGCCAATCACAACAACAGACTTGTAACGCTCTGGTTCTTCAGCTCCATCTGACAGAATTTAAAAGGGTACTAATGTTTTTGATTATTAATATAGTAGTAGCCCTAATCACGATCATACTTAATATATATATATATTCGCCAATGTTACATTATTCAAATAATAAGTCAATTTAGTTCAGTCGAATCAAACTCATACTTTAATGATAAACAGAAAAACTAATACAAACAAAACAAATGCAAAATAACAGGTGATCTCACATACACAAATGGTCTTAAGTCAGTACATCAGTTAAACACATCAATATATGAATTTGAGCGGATGGTGTTTTTGGCCTCTGGGGTCCTCAAAACGAAAAAGTAAATCGGCCCCGGGTCTAGGTGTTACCATGAGACCTACGGTAATAGCTTATTCCCTATATGGGAAATTCGCTAAAAACGTGATTTATACTAGTACCATTTACTATACAAACTTTGTATTATATTTATATATTCAATGATTGTACCATGTGGCCAATCTGGCAACATTGTCCTGGATCTGACAAATTGGCGGCAAGTGATAAGCCTCTATCATTCAACTAGTGTTCTACTAGTTGTTGTTAGTTGTATAGTAATTCGTTGTGAAATGCAAAGGCTTTCGATTACATAACTAGTATTACGAATGTGAGCTATTGAACTTGGAATTAATTAATTAGCTGACTTCAGAGTATTCCAAATAAACTAAGTGTTACTCTTTACAACCTTCAACGACAATCGAGTTTTGTACCATAATTAACCTTACTTTTCAGAATCGGTATCGAGTACAATAAAGCAAAGTATCGGCGATACTTCGATACCACTGGTATCGAAGGTATCAAGGAATCAAGAATCGGAATCGGCCCATCTCTAGATAAGACTATTACAGTGATTGTGAGCTAACCTTGAACAGCGCTCGAGCTGGAATATTGCGGCCAGGAAGGGCAAACAGTTTCTCCACTCCCCCTGTCTCCTTCCAGTGCATGAGTCGTTTGGTGGGTGGCGCAAGGTCGAGTGTAGTCACAATGTCACTAGTGTCGCTCAACTGAGCTTTCATCTCCTCTCCTGAGATATTCTTCACTTCATCCACAATCAGCTTACGCTTGCGCTTTGTCTTGGTGAATCCTGTAAATTAGGATTGAACAAGATGAAGAAAGTTAACTTACATTTGTCAACTTTCAAGTATGATAACAAAATTAAATACCCCCGCCGCAGCAAACCTGCCGACTAAGCGAATTTCCATTTTGCCTGAATTGATTTTCAATTCAATATATTTAATTAACATTAGGTGTTACTAGGCTTTATGAGTAACTAGGCTTGCTGCTACAGGGAGGGTAAAAAAAGTGTGTTTTTTAGTAAAATATTAATAACTTAGTATAAAATAAATAAATTTACCAAGTTTGATCAAAATATATTAATAAACAAGCAAACTACAACTAACATGGGAATTTTAAAATAAATATTTTTTTTATTTTCTCCGTAACCAATTAATTGTACAAAAACACTTTGATATAGGCCTACTAAATTATTTGTTTTTAAGCTCTTTAAAAAGGTCTGGAGAGAAATTGGGAAATTTTTGTTTAGAGGGTTAAAAATTAGAAAAACCAATTTTTACCCTATAAAACCCCGTTCCCATGGTCCGATCATGATGGTTTGTAAACTCATCCTAGTTTATCCCGCTTTACACCTTCAAACCAAATTTCATCAAAATCGGACAAATATTACTCAAGTTATTGTGTTCACGGACACATACATGTATATATTCTATAAAAGAGGAACTATGTGTGTACCTTATGGACTCCAAACATTACTCCTGGGGACATCAAAATGAAAAAGTAAATTGGTCCCGGGCCTAGGTCTTACCATGCCACCTACGGTAATAGCTACTTCCCTGTAGGGAAATTCGCTAAAATTGTGAGTCACAAGAGAACACAGTAAACCATAGACATTTTACAAAACCTTCATGGATGACTATCTATAATGTTTATGTTAAAATGTTTTCATCAAAAAGTGTTAAATAAATCGTAACAAACACTTTAGTTGCTTCATTGCCATATTCTCATTACTTTAAGTCTGAGGAACAGCCTTCCTCTTTAACCGAAATTTTGGTTACCCAAAACAATCTCCCACCTTCATTTCGAAAGAAAGGTTCTACTATAACATAGAGAACATAGTGATAGAGAACATAGAGAACATATGATAGAGAACTAAGTTAAAGTGTTTTGAGAGGACAGCAGGCTAATCTTTAAAAGTGCATCCCTGGTAAAAGAAACGCACAAATTTACACTAAGCGCACAAAAATTAGAATATTAAAAAAAAATAGAATTGTTAATAGTTTTAACCAAGAAAGGTTTGAGAAAGCCTTTCTTTCTTGAGAATTCTTAGTAACCATAAAATATTCTAATTTTTCTATATACTTAGTGTAAAGTTAAGCATTTCTTGCGCCCTAAAGGACTCTTTCCCAAGCCTGCTATCCTTAAAACATATTTTTTTATGTACTTTTATACGAGTCAATCAGTACAACTCTTAACCATAACTCTTCAAAATTAGTCAAATTTGTTATTAACATTTCCAAACATCATTCATTTTAAACAAAATTGGAAGCCATATTCTAACTGCTAAAATACTAAGCTCTTTCACATAATAATATGTCACCTCAAGTGTTACCTTTGAAAGCAGATGCATCGACTGGAGCCAGCGCAAAGCTCTCTTCGTCATTTTGCACCAGAGTGGTCTGGTCTGCAGGTGGTGTGGGGGGTTTGTCATCGTCTGGGTGCTCTGAGGGCACGGGTGTGGGTGCCGGGGTGGGTCGGTGTGACATGTGTGAGATGTGAGATATATGCGACACATGAGATACGTATGAGCGAGCGGGTGAGGGTGGCACCATGGGCACAGCAATGTCTCGCATCGGAGACACGGCGCGAGAACCTTCATCAGAGCTGGAAAAAGATGGCTAACTTAGATTTAAAATACATTTTACAGAAGTCATGTGGAAGTAAGAAAATAAGAATAAGAAAAGAGATATTAGGATTGATATATAATAACAGAAAACCCTTTATTTCGTGTCCCCAAGACTTGGGACTAACAGTCAACTGAATAACAATAACAGAGATTCACTATAAATTGCTACTTAGTTTGGAAAATTACAGTGGTTTTGGAAAGGAATGCAATATAAGTGCGAGTTACGAATGTTTTATTCAAGGTATATATTAGGGATGTGTCGAATCCGAAAACTAAGAAAAGATTTAGATTCAAAATTCAATTAACAAGATTAAAAAAAAAACCAAAAAGAAAATTATAATATTTAATTTTAGATTATAATATATAAATAAATAGAATTATAAGGCATACTGTGACATTGCATACTAACCATAGAGGTTGTTGAAGTCATAATAAACAGTACTGTGACATTGCCATTTTATGAACAGAGTATACTATTGATTAACAAATTTAAAATTAACAAGTGTACCTACAAAAACCATAAATAACCAATAATGAATATTTGCCATCCAAATAAAGTAAACCGACCGACGGTTTGATTTATTTTAATAGGTTAAAAGATGTAACCGAATAGTCTTCTATTATTTTGCTGTGTGTCAAAAGTAATTACGTAACTTTCATTGCAAAGAGTAGTCGTTTATGGTTAGTGTAGCATTTATTTCTAAATGGTTCCTATTCCATTCTTGCTTTTTAAATTACCATAAGCCTATTTGTAATTATTTTTGGGACTCGAGATTCAAAGATTCGAGATTCAATTTTTTAGGATTCGGATTCGAGATTCAAAATTCCTGGATTTGGCCATCACTAATATATATATATATATATGCAAACAAAATTAAGAATTTGAATTTGTATATTGTTATAAAACTGCAGAAAGAAAGAATTTTAGTTGAGGCGATAGTAAAGATTGATGAATAATAAGGAGCTAGTCTTGTGTAATATTATATAACCCATTATAAACCTCTACATCAATTTAAGTCTATAACATCCGACAGAGAACTATTTTCATCACCAAACATAGACTCTGTTAAATTTGATGTTGGAGTTGATCATTAGTCATATTATAGAAAACTAAATCCTTGGACTATCCTTAGACACTGAAGATGGCCAAGGTATGTTTGAACTTTATAATCTTTATATTATATATTTTGATTTCCTTAACACGTTCGCTGCTGAGCGCTAGATGCCGGGACGGCGCCAGTTGCTGAACTAACGCTCGGCCGCTGCGTGACATTGCCACCGATACACTGAATTACAGTAAAAACAACAGTAGTTATACTGGATGGCAATGTTCTGCAATAATACTGGCATTTGATATAGTACTAAGTGATTCTGATGGATAGCAGCACTACCCAGGTTACAGTCGGTAAAGTAGTGTCGCTATCTAGCAGGAAAGAGGTAAAACAAAGCCCTGTTCCAAACAACCCTGGTGGTGATTTGGGAAACTATATTTTTTATTGTCAGAAAAGTACGTCCCCACGAGCTGCAAAGAAATATAGAACGCTTGTGACGTGCTGGCTTATCCATAGCAACGTTAAACAACAATGAACGGTGACGTTCTGGAACGTTCTTAGCTCCTGGCGCCGTGGCCCGGCTGACGTTCCGGAACGTCCGTAGCAGCGAACGTGTTAATCAAATGGCAAGAATGTTTAGAGACTGTGTAAATGCACTGTACAATTTTTTATTCCATAATTCTTACATTATAGTGAACAAGGTGTTCGGCCTACATTAAAATATTAATTAACTTTTAACTTATGGTAAAATTATCTGCAAATGATCAAGCCAAGAACACTTTGAGAGCCCTAGTTACAGCAGATATTGGATAATAAATCAATACCTGTGACCGCCGATGCTAGGAGGTCCCCCAAAGTGATCGTCGTCGTCATCACTGTCAGGCGGGGGAACTCCGTCCAAGCCTCCATCAACCCCCGACTGCCGAATCACGGAGTTAGACTCCACGGGTGGAACGTCTCCCATTGGGGCATCGTCAAACAACCCTCCTTCAAACAAGCCCCCAGCTACAAACAACACACAAAGTAACTATGAAAACTAGTAAAATCAAATTTGTAACCAAATGTTTATAGGTGTTAAGATGTTTTATTATTGTTTAACTTTTGTTGTCCTTATGTAAATTACTGATTTCAGTCGGAAAAACCAACTTCTTTCTTAGCTAAACTGAAAAACATGAAAATTATAAATTAATTTTGCAAACAAATGGTGCACTTGCCACCCCTTGTTATCTCACACCGTTACATCCTAGGCCGTAATCTCTAGTCCAATTTTTTGACACATTACTCCAGACTAGGCATAGAAGGTTGCAGAATTATCACTTAATTAAAACCCATTGGTGATTGGCCGTATTTGAACCTGGGAACCCCAAGACAACAAAATATCTGTTTTCTTTAGAACTTGGAAAAAAATATGAATCCTATACCAGAATAACATTTTTGACTAACCTATGATATCCTGACCCAAATTTCCACCAAAACCGTCATCCCTTATAGGAGCTTCAATGTCAAGAGCTGATCGGGCCATCAGGCTGTTCGATGTTGATGGCTGAGGTTCTTTCTCTTTATCCAATCCTTCGACACCATCACTGAAGAGAAGGTTGGACTGGAACAAAATAGCTGGTTTAGATAAAGCCTTTCACTTAAGTAGGCTGATATTTAAGGTTATGAGAAATCAGGTGAAAGCAATTACTTAGGCCCAGCTGCCAAAACTAGATACGTAAAAATAAAACATTTTAGTGGTAGGCCTATGATGTAAAACTAAAAACTTCAGATGTAGGCCTCAAGTTTCGACCCAACAACACAGACTAATACAGAAAAAGCTTAGTAACTATTATGTAACGTTCTCTGGGCTAGGCCTATTAATTAAAGAGACAACATAATTCTCTGACCATACCTGATCCAAAGCCTGGGCCAGCCCCTGATGATGCATCAAGTCCGGAGGATCAGTGCCAAATCCAATGTCTCCGAAACCTTCCTCTGTGGTGACCAAGGCGATGTTCCCATAGTCTTCTCGCATTGTGATTTCCTCGGCTCTAGACTGGTTCAGGCTGAACTGGGCCTCAATGTCTACGTCACTGCAGAATAAACATATGTTTAAATTCTTTTATCATGTTTATGTAAAAAGGTAGAACAGTGGGATCTCGATCAACCACCATTTCTCCGTTATCCATCACCTCAAAGACATGTATTTACTGTATGGTTTTGTCATTCCAAAGATGTAAATAATATCCTGTATACACAACAGCATGAATGTATTAATAAAGAGGTACAGTAGATCTCCAATTACCCGAATTCCAAATATCCAAATCACCAATTAGGCCTATCCTAGCTGTTAACAGAAATAATTTAAGGATTTAAAACCACAGTAATAAGAATCATTATTAAAAAGGCAGAAGCTGTAATTGTGGCAAAAATCCAAAACCTGTCTCGTGGTCGAATAGACATCATCCTCTACCGCGGTCACAGAAACATCTTCATAGTTTTTCACGATTGAGGCAAATTGTTAAATCAAATGTTAATTGTTAATATCAAACGTCTGTGTAGACACCATCATCGTCTCCCACGATCTCGGAAAATCATAATCGTACTCCGCAATTGCAGCGAAAGCGTAAATTTTCCCTCTGATCGTAAATAGTAAAAGCTCGGCATGAATTGGCCTATTTTATTTAAAAGACTCTGAATTTCGGGAAAATCTAATATTCCGAATGGGGTCCGGTCCCAATTAATTTGGATAATTGAAATTGAACTGTCCTGTGTATAATTCGTAATAGTACACAGTGTTATTTATTTCCAGACTGTTGTTATTTAGTAATGAAACATGTTATCTGTCTGTTATTACCAATATATATTCAGTTAACGATAGTCATTGTCCCACCAGTAGTACAGTGGTGGTTAGTAAAGATTTTCGCATATCGTACATTGAACAGAATTAATACTGATCACATTAGCTGCAATCTACTAATGAAGAAAAGTTTGAGTAGGCCTGTACCTAAATATAACAAAATAAACACTGCAGTCATAAATAAATTATTAAGAAGTAATTATTAATTTAAGTATGCCTAATTCATTCAAATCTTCTGTCACTGTTTAAAATAAATATTTGTATTGATTCAAAGTTTTTGTTCAGGCCTAAATGAATATTGATGGTTATGTTTGGTGTTTGAAATCATGTGTCTTGGTAATAAAAAATTCAAGGTTGAAGAGAGAAAGCTGAAACTAGATTCCAGATTTCAGGAACTGTCTGAATCAATGACAGATTTTAGTCTTTTTTGGAACAGGAACAACAATAACATCCACAATTACACAGTAAAAACTTACTTGAGCTCGGGCATTGCAGTGTCAAAGTCGTGAAACACCTCCGGCAGAGTGATGGCGTTGACAGCAGCTTCTCTGTGTTCCTCCGGTAAATCGACCATGCCCGGACGGAAAGCCATTTTGATCTTGACGAATGCCTCATTACAATCGGCCAGCAGGTATTTGGCTTTGCGAGAGTAAATGCGAACCACTCCAAGCAACAAGTGGCCTGACGTTCGTAGAGCCATTTTTACCTGTTTAAGTTAAATATGTTTTATTTTTTAAGTTTGCTAAAGTGTAAATAAACCATAAAGGTGGCAAAACTTCATATGTGACATCAGCCATGACAGTAAACAACTTGCTTTTTCCACACTTTAGACAAAAGTCCTCCAGGAGGTAAAATTTTGTTTGTTTTCTGTAAGCTATAAATAATACATATGGCTTAAGTAATCAAGGATTTTTTAAAGGCAAGCTCTTTACTCTTAAATCACAATCCTGACCTGGAGCTTTTCTAAAAGACTTTACCTGTAAAAGGCATATACAGTTTAGTTCAGGCAGATCTTCATTGAAATCTCTTTAACTTTAGATGTTAAGGCATGACAGAAATTTGACTAAACCAAAAATAAGTAGCCTATAACCTTCAAAATAATTTTAAAAATTAGGGATGGAAAATGATTACTTTTTAAAACTTCATTCGACATATATAAGTTGGAATTTGAAAGTGTAAATCTAAACTCCATTCTACATTCTCCGTTCACTGCGGAGCGTCCACTAGTCAATTAAATTATATTACAGAAATAAATTGGGTTAAGTTTATCCCGCCTTTTTTACCTTCAAACCAACTTTCATCAAAATTGGAGTAAAATTACTCAAGTTATTGCGTTCACGGACATGTGTATATATATATATTATATAATAAGTATGATTGTGATTAGTGTTTACATTTGAAAATTTCTCAAAAAGCACCCCTGCCCCCCAAATTAACCCTCCAAGTGTCCATAGTTTAGGCCTTAATGTCCACCTATTTTTGGCGCATTTGCAAGGTTTTATTAAAACGGATCTGAGAAGCTTAAAACAACGTTAATTCTAATGTTCTATATACCATTTTGTTTGGAAAATCATGGGCTTCAATATTATATATAAAACATAAGGAACATTTAAAAAAAAAAAAAAAATTTAGGTAAAAAAAAATATAATTTCAAAAATTTTCAAAAAAAAAAATAAGTTCGCACTCAATGAAATTGTATAAATTATAGGCCTATAAATATTTGAAAATAGCCACTTTGTTCTAAATTTTATGAGGATTACAAATATATAATAATATAAGGAAGTAGATTTGCAAATAAATAAGTTATGGGCAAAAAACAGATTTCAGTACATAGCGTTTAGCTAAGAATGCATAGCCTAACCATAGCTAGGAATCTGGCTGATAATTTACATCAATATCACTACCTACTTCTTCAGGATCATCAACCAGCACTTCGAAACCACTTAAATCTTCTTATAATGCAACACGTATATCACTACTTTTGATTTTTAACACTAAAACAATGATAAACGTAATAAAACACATCAGTCATCGGTCGGAGGGTAACCTAGCTGTTTACAAATACACGCACGTCAGCTGTCTGCTACATATTACGATCGGCTCAGATAACGTACAGCGCTGAGACAGACCTCTGGAGAAAGCTTAGAATGAAACGGAAAGAACGATACCTAACTCGATCCAGTTCAATCCGATTCAGTCAGTTATAGAGCCTTCGCCGTAAACGATGTCTGCTTGTCGAAAAATCGACAAGTAACACTACACAAAGTGTGCTGCTTGTCGAATTTTTGTCAAGTAACACTGGGAGGGTTAACATATGACTATATTTTATTACTTTCATTATTTTTGTTATTGTATTTGTATGAAATGTAAACATGACTATGACCTAAGTGTTGAAACATGTTGTTTGTTAATTAAAATGAGTTTTTAAGGGTATTAATGTTTTCGATTAATATATATATATATATACATAATTTATATATACAGCCTATTTTGCATATATATATATAATACCGGTACATAGGGCCTATATAGTTTCAACATTAGTTTTTTTGGCCTCTAGGGACATCAAAATGAAAAAGTATATCGGTCACGGCTCCAGGTCTTACTGTGCCACCTACGGTAAAAGCTACTTCCCTATAGGAAAATTTGCTAAAAATGGGAATAAATTAATTTTAAAAAACTACAACCATGATAAGATGCTTAAAAGATTCATAGGCCTATTTGACTTACTTTTGGCTGAAGAATTCCATCAACTGATTTTTCAATATTCGTTTCAAACACATGGGCTTTGGTTAACTTCTTGTCCCAATGAGCAGCAAGCCAAATACGGGCAAGAGGGCCCTTTTTGGCGAGCACAAAGTGTGCATAAAACATCTTAGCTTAGTCAGCTACCAGATCTGAAACAAAGAGGTTGCTCATCATGGAATTTCTTGTGACATATAAATAACATCTTCAATCCTGACCATCAAGAACTGAATTGCACAACTTTTGCACAACAACAATATGCAAATGCACAATTGAACAAACCCAATGTCATCAAAAGTTAAATTTTGGTCCTTCCCACTTGATTAACCTGTTTATTTTTTCTTTATCCAATGGAGTGACAAAGGCTCCCGCACCATAAAGGCCTTGAACGTTTGTAGCCTCAAAGACGTTTTGGAGTTGTTGGTAAGGCCCCCCATACAAGTAACGATCGGCCGGAAGGCCTGGCCTGAACAGTCCACGTGGCCGACCGATCGTTACGTGTATGGGGTCGTCATCCGGCCGCCGGCCGACCAAATCGGTCCGGCCAACCCGCACCTTCAGGCCAATCGGTATGTGTATGGGGTTGCCGGCAGGCCGCCGGAAGGCCGACAGTAGTAGCATTATTTTTTATTTACGTTTGAGGTATTAGTTTTTTAAGTTAGGCACGGTCATTGACATAACCTAACTTTGGCGAATCGTTGTGTGTATTGGGACCCTCCTTTCACAGGCCAAACTGTTCAATTTGACCTTCCCGCTCTGAGCGGCCGGCCGATCTTTACGTGTATATAAGTAATTAACTTATAATTAATAGTAGGCTAATTACTTATATTGGCCTAAAAGTGGAATTATGTCTCAGGCCATTTCCTACTTACTGTTAAGGGAAAACTATTTTAGAAAAAAATATTTCTGAGACGGATCATCTGATTTTGATGAAACAAAAATCAAATTGAAGCTAGATTAAATACATTTTACATGGTAACCATACCATTTCAACCAAACTGAAAACACTTAAAAAGTACAGGTTAAAGATGCTCCGCATTAATATTGAAGTTAACTTTAATTAATTGTAAAAAAAAACCACTTAAAAACCAACTAAGTTAGCTCTTATCAGCTCTCAATGTCCTTAGAAGTCTCTGTGAAATTACCAATAAAGAAGATACCTCTTAGATGTCCTATAATGTCATATTTGCCTCTCACCTAAAATTAAGCATGATTGCCTTGGGAAGTGCCAGCTAAAGCCAAATAAAAGAAACATATAAATTAACCAAAATAAAGCAGCGAGAATCATCAACTAATCACACTACCTCCAACACTGCAAGAACTTATCTTAAGTATATTAGCTAACAGCTACATATTCATAATAAAGCACAAAATCCTACCTGACCTCTCAATACATAATTTAACACTATAGGCTACATTTTTTAATGACTCCGCAACAGCAAACCTCCAGACTTAAAATCAAATTCCTAAGCGACGGCAGAGGCGAATATACTATAGTTGCACGGCTGTAGTTGCGCGACTATGACTCATACTTACTTTTTTTTGTCCTAGGACGCTAGGCTTGAGCCTGGGATTGTTTTTCACATTACTTCAGGCTAGACCTAGGGGTTGCAGCATTATCACTTGGATAAAATCCATTGGTGACTTGGCGGGATCGAACCCAGGACTTCGGGGAGTGAAGTACCGCGCTCAACCACTACGCCAGCTCAATTCCCATGACTCATACTTACTGCTTCGCATGTAATTGAATGAAACCCATTCCTATGACACGACTGGTGCCGTGAGGCGGAAACGGCTCTAGTGAGGCGCCTCGAGCCGTACGACTGCTAGCATGAGCAGGTCAGTCGTAACAGCTGTGACAACTGAAGGTCTGTGGTTGTATTAATGTGATAATTTTTTTACATTTTATTACCAAGCCTAGACATTTTTTTTTTAGGATTTGACAATCGGTGAGTTTTGTATAGCCTACACATAAGCTGCAACTGAGGTATTTTTTAAAACTTTTCTAAGGAAGATACATGGTCTGGTTAGGAGGGTCGAATGATGATATTGCTCAAGCTGAAAGATGTCTAAGCAATGAAGTAGAAAGTCTGCTTGATCAAACCAATCACACCAATGTTATCATTTCAGGCTTACCGTACAGACACCATAATCCAGCCTTAAATAACAGAATAAGCTACCTCAATTGAGATATGGAGGAAATTGCAAAAAAATATAACCATGTTTCCTTCCTAGCTATAAATAGACTAACAAGGGAATCATATACTAGGCATGGATTGCATTTCAACAGGCACGGAAAAAAGAAGATAGCCCTAATGATTAAAGAAATATTTCAAGTGAAGTCAACTGTTAGGCAAAATCAATCCATCACAGTGAACTCAGTGATTGTGATTGCGGCTGACATGAACAAAATTATTGATAGTCACAAAAATGACCCGTCTGTGGCTTTTGCCCATACAATTTCAAGTGACCTTCAGCATGAAAGGAACATGAGCGCGGGTGTCGCTGTCGTATTCCGAAAACAATTTGGAAGACCAAAACAATCTGAATTTGTATGCTCCAGATTGACATGCCAGACTAAACAAAACGGTGCGACAATTATAGGGATTATAAGAATATAATATAAGGATATAGCCTTGTCACAAAAGACTTGATCAATGGGAAACCATGAATGAAGAGTATGACGAGGCATTTGATCAACTTATTCAGGACTTCAAACGAAAGAAACTTGATTTGTTCCCCCATGGGTGTTGTCCGTGACCAAATAAAGCTATAAAATATTTGGTTTTACATTACCTTTATCAGTTCCAAAAGTAACCTTTGTCAAGTTATCTTCGTGTTACATGTTTCGGCGAGCTGCCATTGTTAAACACTTTGTTACAGGAATATGTAGATCTGCTTGAATAACTTCGTTGTCATAACACATTACACGACAAACAACATTTACGCACGATACGTACAACATACAAATAAATACTTTTTGTTTGATAGGCCTATCACGAATACAACATTGCCGGTACACGAGCGGTAACAGACTTAGTCGTGTGTAAATGTTGTTTTTCGTGTAATGTGTTATGACAACGAAGTTATTCAAGCGGATCTATTCCTGTAACGAAGTGTTTAACAATGGCAGCTCGCCGAAACATGTAACACGAAGATAACTTGACAAAGGTTACTTTTGGAACTGATAAAGGTAATGTAAAACCAAATATTTTATATATTACAGTTCCGGGGCTACAACAATGAATTTCAAATAAAGCTGGTGCATTTCACGAGAAACATTACTAAATTGCAGAATGAGACCAATGCAACCATCGTCGTAGTAGCATATGATCAACCTACTGCCAGAAGAAAACTGTGGAATGGGCTGTCGTATGCAGAATTCCTGAAGCAGTTGCAGAACCTTAATTCCTATCAACCTACCTCTGTCCTGCCTTCTGCTGAGAACAACTACTCTGAGGATCCATCAAAGCAAACCAAAGAGGGCTCCCAGTTCTCTAGCTCGACAAAACAGGATAATCTTGTCAGACCTCAACCTGCTGCCTTGACTTCTTCACAATCTGTTGGTCCCATAGTACACCCGGAAGAGAATACTTTCTAGACCTGTCACCCCAGTGGTGGTAACTGTTAAACTCAGCTACAGTGAGGCACTGAAGTCAACACCAGTGTGAGCAGTGGAAAAGCAGAGTAAAGTGTCTTGCATTCAAAATAGTGATTTATTTTCTTCTGTAAATTTATATTTCGGCCTAAACTAAGACGATAAGTCTGCCAGTCTCCAAAATTTAACATTAACAGATAGGGAATTTTGACATTAATTCAACTGAAGATAATAAAAATCCACAACCATTTATCCAGGATGTAATTCAGATCTTGTTTTATAATATTCCAAATTTAAGCTCGTCAAAAATATCAGAACTCAAATTGTTTTTAACTCAGTCTGCTTTAAAAATTAAAGGAATGTCACTTGTTGAGCATTGGCTTTTGACTCTATTAATCTGGCTAACACAATCAATATTTAATTTTTGTTTGGCAGATTTTTATGTAGCCTACAAGAGAAAATGGTGTAAGGGGAGGCTCATGTATTTTAATTAATAAACATTGTAAATTTGTACGTTTGAAGGATTTCTCTGATTTGAATGAAGATTTTATATTTTAAGGTTCAGCAGTTTAACTCCCAGATTTCAATTTAATTTGTTTCAGTCTATACAATTCCTACCTACAAAATGAATCAATTGTTTCTGGTCAGATTCAAAAAGCTGCTTTTGCTTCAGCAAAAAAGAGTAAAAAATAAGTCTGTTTTTCATCACCGGTGATTTTAATATTAACATTTTGGAAAACAATCCTATAAAATAAATGTGTCCTGGGCTCAGGACTTACTATGAGAATTAACTTATTATGGTAGCTTATTTCTCTTTAATGGGAAATTGCTAAAACAGCATTCGCCTGAAAGCAGGCAAACGTGCCACAATCACAACATTGGATCAGGATGGAACTACACCACCACCGTACCGGTAGAAGTCTTAATGCAATGGGAGACAAATACAACGTACGGCCACAACATCACAAAACACCACAGTAAATTATACATAGGCTACACGAAAATTCATCCAGGCACTAAAAAAGTAGCCTTAAGTTATCTCACAAAAACATAAGTTTAAAAGGCTACAACATCAAAAAATTCTATAAAGACCACAATCAGGGATTAGGTAGGCACTTACTAAAACAGAAATACAGTATTTACACCAGGAAACCCAAGTGACGATTCTCTGGTCTATGATTGTGATGAAGAGGACAGATATAAGCTTTAACTTATTTACCGTAGGCTATGCTATTTATTCTTCGAACGGTCAAAGGTGCAAACAAAAATACAGTTACAATAGGCCTAACTTAGTTTATGTGGATTTACAATGCTACCACTCATTTAACCCTAGCAGTGTCCAATATTAGAAAGTGGGGAATGGCCAACCCATTTTGGCGATTTTGCAGACCTTTTTTTGAAAATTCGTAAAAATTCAACAGTACAAGTAAACCTAGCCAACCTCATATTCATTTTGTTCGTAAAGAACAGGAGAATCTAGAAATAGTAATATATAATAATGATTTAGATAGGGCCTAGCGTATTTTTTAAGTAAAGTGAAAAAAAAAAAAAATTCTATTTTTTTTTTGAAATTTCAAAAGCAGCCTCGGTATTTTTTTTTCTAGACAGATTTTTTATGGAAAATTCATTAACTTATACATTTTGTAGACAATCTAATTCCCTACATAGAAATTTATAACAAGTTAGGATTTTTTTTTATACGTTTTGGGGCGAAATATAGGCTAACAAACGGAGAACAGAAAAAATTGAAAACCGTACAGTGTTAGTTTATGTTGTAAAAAGTTATATAATATATGTGTTACTAATAGGCTAATGATATTTGTAAAGCTAGCCTAATGAAGTAAGGAATCGAAAAAAGTCATAAGTTTAGTCTATGGTAAAAATAATTTTTTACCTATAAACGTATAGGCCTACCGGTATATAAAATAATGTTTTTATTATTTTATAGCGATTTTGTGAAAAAAATCACGGTATTTAGTACAACTTTTGTACAAAATGGTTTACCCCCAAACCAATATAAAACAAGTTGTGTATTCATTTAGGCCTACCTTTATAAAAATGTATAACACCTTGGGTAGCCTATATATACTTTTTTTTATGTGTTATGTAGAGATATAAATATAAACAAAAATGGTTGCACTCGCAACACTATTTTATTTACGAACACTATTTCACACAATTCAGTAATAACTTATTTATGCATTAAAATGCATGAAGATTACTGTTATACACACACACTTTTGAAACTTCAATAACACTAACACTACGAACTACAACGTATTTAGTAATAAATCGCAGATGATAACACGAGCGCGAACACTCACCGGCAACAACAAACAATGGAATGGGAATGGCGAATACAAGACAGACTGTAGCAGTAATGACTCACTTCCGTCTTCTTCATATGAGCAGACAGAAAAAACCCTGAGTGCAAGGCTGCCACTCTCACTATCTATATTTCTTCCTCTTCAAAATGACATATTAGGCCCTATATGCCTACCTAGTAATAATAACTTTCACTAAGTAAATGTAAGTAATTCGTATTTTCCATACCGTCACCTGACGACGGTTGGCCATTTGTTATAAATTTTTAAAACAGCTGTTTTCATAAAATCGTACCGGTTGTCCAATCAATATTTAAGTTAAGTTTAGTTCTAAATATCAGTACCAAAATGAAGATAAAATCAATGGCTATCCAGTGGTACCACCCGCAACATCCCAAGACGAAAATTACCCGAGCAGGGTAATGCCAAACAAGACGTGTTTTGCCAGTTCCCAAGTGTCGGCTGCAAAAGTCGTGCCGCGCCAAAAATTCATTTGATTTTTAATCGTCGTGACATTGTTATATACCTGCTACAGGGTTTGTTTGAATGTAATAAAATGAAAGTTCAGAATGTGATCTTTCGAATGGTAACTTATATATTGTTCTTATCTGAGTTGATTATACTTAAGTGTTTTTTTTACCGTTAAAATAATTTTGGCCCATACCGTCACCAGACGACGGTTGGCCATTCTAAGCATCAATGTCAAACCGTCACCAGACGACGATTGGCCACTGCTAGGGTTAACTTACAGTAGGCCTATAAAATTAAACTAGGCTATCATAACCTAACCTAACCAACCAAACTTGCTAATGGTGAAAAAATCGCATGAAGGTTTACTAAGTAATTGAATCCATAGTTTCAGTCGATATTAGCATAGGCCTAGCCCAGTTAAGAAACTGTGCCCGCCTAGAACCTAGACATGACTAATTAAGTCATAGGCTAACTTAGCCTACGCTCTGAAAAGGTTTTTGTAAATAGCCTACTATTAAGAGGATCAGTTCAATTATAATATGTTGTGAGCATTATTCACGAAATAGAAATTAGAAACTTATCATTATCAGTAGGTGTAAACAAAGCGATGGGATGGGCTTGGCTTCTTCGCGGGTCATCAATAAGTTTAACTGGCAATACTAAGCTAGGCTTCACAAGTAAAAGAAATCATATGCCATCATATTATAATACCTAAAAAGAATAGTAATACATAATAATGTGAACATTTAAATATTGTTTATAAAATCACTTGCATGAAAAGTAGCTAGCATAGTTGTAGGTCATAACGACTTTGGCGCCTATTTGTCATTTCCTCTATGCAGTTCCAATTCTAGTCACTATCAATTTCTCATTTAATGAATTCCTCTTAATAATTACCCACGTACCTTAACAAAAACAAATTCCTTATCCGAATGTCGTATTGACACACAGCACTAATTATCCTATAAAACCACGGATTGATAATAACATCATAGGTAAATCAAACGGACTACGGACACAGCCACAGCACAAAATTCCGACAACATCGACAACTAAACAAAATGGCGACAGCAAGAGTGAAGAACTAAACAACAAATAGAGTTGACTCCATGATGAACTAAATAACGAAGCTTTGCAAGGATGCAACATTCACGCATTTAAAAACTTTTTTGTGTCATTATACTGTTTGTATTTTGATACCTAGCAAAAGATACTTCATTTTTGACGAATCGCATCTTGGATGTATTATAATAATTGCTGCAGACAAACCATAAACGGCTTTTGCAGTTAAATTGTATGAGTTTCGTATATTTTAGAAATAAATAAATACTAGTGTACATGATGCTCGAAATCGAGCAATTGCAAAGAAGTGCTGGAGTTATTTATAAACAAATAACTTGTTTAAAAACTAATAACAGCCATAATTGCCGATGATTTTAAAAGAGTCGACTAAAACATAATTAACTAATGCGGAAATACTCACAATTTACATATGTCCTCGGGTACGATACGAGCGGCGAGCGGTGAGCGGCAAGCGGTAAGCGGCAACCTGAGCGGCACGTAAGCGGCGGTGGTGGCTACGATACAAGCGGCACATTTATAACGCTCATAAAGTTTCCCAAGTTTTATGAGTCAGTTTTATGGTGGAAAGAAAAAACAAAAAACATAGGTGTGCTATTCCCACATATTCTGACGTAACTCGCAACCAAAACTTGCAAACAAAAGATCACCGGATTGTAACTGTCAAATTAGTATGTATTTGTTTTGATAATAATAAAAACAATAACAACCAAATCAAAACAAATACATATACTAATTTGACAGTTACAATCAGGTGATCTTTTGTTTGCAATCCGAGTGACGTCAGAATATGTGGGAATAGCACACCTATGTTTTTTACTTCCACCATGAGTCAGTTTAGTATGAAATTGTAAACTATGCTTAAGACGTATTGCAACTGTTGTTGCTATCCGACAATTTTTTGCGTTTAAAAAAAACTTAGTTTTTAGAAAAACCTTAACCCAAATTTTTTTCCTACTCTTTTCTGATGACTGAAGTGTTTTAAAACTTCCGTGCTGGTCATTCCACAAAAATTCCCTGGACTGCACCTAACCATAGATAAAACATACACATAACGTATCGACCCGTATCGCATGTTTGCTGCTGTTTCCCTGTCATTTTAGGCCGAACTGAAGCATGACTCACCTGAGCGGCGAGCGGCGTTTTCGTGAAAATCGGTTTTGACTTGGAACCATGAGCGGCGCTGAGCGGTGCCGCTTACCGCCGCTCGCCGCTCAGACGTATCGTGGCCACCCTCAGCAAATTTACACGCAACTAAATGAGACCCGATGTCAGAGCGGCGCCGCTGCTCATGCCGCTCGCCACTCGTATCGTACCCGGGGCCTAACAGTCCTATTCCATTTTAAAGGGTTAATTTTTAACTATCAAACTGCCCACGGACGGGAAAAGGTAAGCTTGCAATTTAAGAGGCGGTCGGATAGAGCCCCGTATCCCATATTTTGCAGGCGTCACGAGCAACAACACAGTCCTCTCAAAACAGACTTTTGTAATAGTACCACCCTTGGCCACCAGTTTCGTGGCTGTCGCATAACGGGATCTGAGATTGTTGACAACCCTGTGTTACCTAGAAACTTGAAAGCATCAACTCGACTACCCTCAGCCTGTGTCCTAGCCCTTGTCTAATGTCCCACCACACGTTTCACTTTCACTGGTTTGCTACCTTCGCTCACCCACACTTTACGTCTCAGCAGGTCTCAGTTCGTCACCGCACAATATGCTAATTTTCCACACAAAAAATGTTTTGGAGATACAAATAGCACTTTCAGTAAGACATTTCGATGTATACACATATATTTTAATACATGATAATGTATTCAATTATAAATAATATACTAGTGCTACTGGGCTCAATAATGTAACTACTTGGCCTATCCCATACATTTTAGCGAATTAAACCCTGTAATGAGGTAGCTATTACCGTAAGTGGCATGGTAAGACCTACGCCCGGAACCGATTTACTTTATCATTTTGATGTCCCCAGAGGCCAAAAACACCATTCGCTCAAATTTTTATATATATGTGTGTCCATGAACACGATAACTTGAGTAATTTTTGTCCGATTTTGATGAAATTTTGTTTGAAGGTGTAAGGCGGGAGGCGGGATAAACTTGAATGAGTTCGCGAACCAGCATGATCGGACCATGGGAACGGGGTTTTATGGGGTAAAAATGGTTTTTTCTAATTTTTGACCCTCTAAACACAAAATTTCCCAATTTCTCTCCAGGCCTTTACAAAGAGCTTAAATAAACGGTATCAGCATTCTGACACATACTTTCTCCCATAAGTTTGTCAACAACCAATAACCAAACCAACCAAGGTTTCCAACAACCTTTATCATGTGTAAGCGGTGAGAGTAAATAAACGGAAATGGGATTTGTACAATTTTGTTCAGAATTTAAAGGACTTTAAAATACTAAATTTTTAACAAAATTTTTCGAGCCAATTTTGGGAAAATCAGATTTTTTCGTTATTTTATGGGGTTTTTATGGGAAAATAACATAATTTACAATAACTTTTGAACCCTAATTTTTACAGAAATGGGATTTGTACCATTTTGTTCAAAATATAAAGGACTATAACATACTAAATGTTTCAACATGTTTACAAAAGACTGAATATACGAATGCTTCGCAATATAATATCACTCACCCGATCGTCTTAGTCCATATTTTATATCTAATGATAGAAGGAATTTCTTTTAGATCTATCAGGCATAGCCCTAACGTAGGCCTGTAATTGAAATTACCTTTCACACTGGTTTAAAATAGTTAAAATACTACATCAACCTCACTACTGCACACTTTATTCAGGTTGAAATTTTCATTAACGAAGGTGCTCTTGTCTTTTCTACGAAACACTGAGAATTTGCGTTATCAACAGACATACTCACAGAAATACAGAATTGAATTAGGGGATTTGCTACGCGTTAACCAAAGCAAATTACAAGCAAAATTATTTATTTAAAAGTTTTTATAGTGTCATCAAGTTTTATGATAATCTTATTTAGGCCTAATCCTTATCAAACTGTAAAATTGGTGTAAATCCGTCGGCAAATATATAAATAAGTTAATAAATACACAGTCCAAAAAACATTGATACGTTGACAACGTAAAGCTTTAAAAACTCATTATGGTTTGCCCAAAAAATCTTTCACTTGATGTGGTATCTTGGTATCAGTATCGAAGTAAAATTAAAATTCATGATGTAGCCCCTGAACTGATTAATTAGACTAATATGAGGTACGTTCCTTTACGTCAACAGTTCAATTGTAGTAAGTAGAACTCACAACATGTTTCGCCTATTCAAACCTATTCAAACAGTATCGAAGTTATTAATCCCCTTTGGTTTTGGATTTTTTTTCGAAAATCAAAGTTATTTCCCATTAATAGCATTATTTGTAAGCAGCTTTTAATGTTAACATATTAATGACAGTTTGAAGAAAACCCCTTATCCAAACAAAGGGTTCTTATTTGAAAGATTACGTAATCTCTAAACGATGATCGGTATATTCCCAGCACTGAGCACTATACAACACTGATTCACGGCCTTTTCCCGGTTATCAAAACTCAAGAACAATCGTTGCACTTGCGATTAATTAAACCGGCTAAGTAAGGCAACAACGTTTTTAATCCCACTTGGTTTGGATGTGCTTACAAAACTTGATCAGAAATGGTTGTGGTATTTGTAAACAGTATTTAATGTAAACATATCATATGTGACAGCTAGAAGTGAGAACTAATCCAAATGGCTGGTCGTTATTTCATAAAAGTTGAATAGTAAACATTGGAAGACAATTTGACAAAAATCGAACAAAATTGGGGTTTTGATGGTTCGTTATTTTGTTTTCAAGGAGTGGGGCCATGTTTTTATAGCCAAAGAAACTCACTAATCCAGGAAATACAGAAAAATGATTTGAACCTTGATCGGTATTCTAGTTTTCTAGGAGTAGACCTCGTAAAATGACATTTTGGCGTCACTGACAGAATAAAAGAATGGACAGACAGACAGAAATTGAGATAAGACTCGTTTCGACTTTCTTTGGCTATGAAACATAATGTAACCAGAAACTGCATGATTCTAAGAAATGTAGGCCTACAGACAAAACTGTATTTTATTTATATAGATATATGGAACGATTTAAATATATAAAAATAAAAAATAGTAGGTCCTATGTGTCGTATTTTTACGTTTCAAAGCCATTTGAAGTTGCAATCTGGCTCTGGATGTTTTTTCTAGATTTTGCCTTATCCTGTGCCTCTAATATATAAATAGGATTTCGGATAGGCACTTGGGGTTTTATCTTAGCTCCAATATTATAGACCTAAAACGGGACATCGCAATTCCAAGATAATCCATGAGTCAGAAGCCGGCTTGGCTACGACGCAGTGCTGGTCCGGAGGGTGGATTTGGTTCCTGGAAGACCTTAATCGTATATACCACGTATGTCAGAAAATGCTTTTGTTCCACTGGACCTTGTTTTCATTTTGGGAAATAGTTTGTATCAAACCGTGTATTGCAGCAGCTATCTTTACACAGCTAAGTCCGTAATTAACGTACTAAGTATGACCAAAAGAGACGTTTATTCTAACGGAACTTGTTTTATATTGATGAATAGTTTGTATCAAACCGGGTGTTGTAGAACTACTTTTATCTCTGATGACAGTAATACTTTAATACATAAGGTAAATACACAGTCCGAAAATATTAGATTCTTAGATTCCTGTGAATTAAATATCATCATTTCCTTGGCATTATAATACATCAGGGATGTAACGACATACCGTGATTTATTTATTTAAACAGATCTGTGGCCAGTTTAAATGAATTGTATTTGGCGCGGTTTGAAAACGTGCTCTGTAGTCCACAATCGACTGTGCTGCCATCGGCCGGGACATCGTCGAACTAGTACTCAGTCGGCAAGCAAGGCTTTTTTGCAAGCTTTTACAAAAAAAATACAAAACTTAATGTTAACCATCGAAAAATAAATATCTGTCACACTCAATACACTAATGAATATATGCTCTTCAATATGGCGTTTGAACCAGAATTGTTTATAGTTCCAGTCATTTTATATTTTAGCAGAAAGTATTGCAATTCCTTATGGGAAATGTAAGAAATGATTTATTTTATATCCGGCTTATAATTAAACATTATGATTTTTATATTGTACAGTCTTAATCCTACATACATTTACAATGTTTTGAGTGTGGGAAATAATTTTTGGAACACGGATAGACCAGAAAACGAGGAATTATTATACGCGCTCCATGTTAAAGTGACGGCCAGTGTCGGCAGCCGAGAATCTCTGTCCGACCGCCTCTTAAGTCAACGAAAAAAGGCTGTCAGATTTTATAATGTACCGTACCTAAGTTATTTAGCCAATTTGTAGACAATAAGGTGTAGGCTACTTTAAACTCTACAGAACAGAGTTAGGCAAAAACTGGCAGAACTCTGAAATGGTGTTATTTATCATAGGCTTACTCATGGCAAATCCCCTGCACAGCTTCACGTTATGCTCTTTCCAATGACACCAAAAAAATGAAATCGGTTCAGTAGTTTCGGAGGAGTAATTGTCACAAAAATCCTGCTTGCGTATTAATAAGTACTATAGTTCGGCCGCTTAGAAAGCGACCTCCTACAGCATTGGTTTAGCATTAGCGCGCAGGTCGTTTTCTAAGCGGCCGAACTATAGTCGCTCTGACCGTGCTTCGCTACGGGTGAGAATGCAAAAAAGAACAATACCTTTTCACTTTTAAGATACTGATACTACGAGTATAATCTACTATAATAAACAGTTACAACACACTTACCAGGAAACATGTGCAAAGGCTTAATCGTGCTTATTGATTACCGGTATTTAAATGAAGATCTCTTAATGTTTTACAGTACTATCATTTTATATAGTGTATAGCATTTAAAATATATACAAAAGTATAATTCATTGACCACATGGCACCATGAAACAATTCTCCTTGTAAACAAATTAAATTAAATAGCAGAATTTTTTGGTTAGAAAATTAACTTTTTAATTGTAAAATATTTTTTAAATGTTTAGTTAAAAAATTAATTTTAATTTAAATTTGTAATTATAAAATTAAACTGTCATAACCTAACCGAACCAACCAAACTTGTTGATAATATAAATAAACGGTATCAGCATTCTGACACATACTTTCTCCCATAAGATTGTCAACAACCTTTCTCATAAGTAAGCGGTGAGAGTAAATATACGGAAATCGGATTTGTACAATTTTCTTCAGAATTTAAAGGACTATAACATACTAAATTTTTATCAAAATCGTTCTAGCCAATTTTGGAAAAATCCGATTTTTCGTTATTTTATGGGGATTTTTATGGGAAAATAACATAATTTACTATAACTTTTGAACCGTAATTTTTACAGAAATGGGATTTGTACCATTTTGTTCAGAATTTAAAGGGCTACAACATACTAAATTTTTATCAAAATCGTTTGGGCCATTTTTGAGAAAATCCTATTTTTCCAGTTTTTTATGGGATTTTATGGGAAAATCCCCATTAAAAAAATAATTTTCTAAAAAATGACAAAAACTATCAAAATTGTAAGGATCATAACATACTCTGTTAAATCAAAACCGAATTTTTGTCTAAAATCCTATTTTTTGTTATTTTATGGGGGTTTTATGGGAAAATAACATAATTTACCATAACTTTTGAACCGTAATTTTTACAGAAATGGGATTTGTACCATTTTGTTCAGAATTTAAAGGGCTACAACATACTAAATTTTTATCAAAATCGTTTGGGCCATTTTTGAGAAAATCTGATTTTTCCAGTTTTTTATGGGATTTTATGGGAAAATCCCCATTAAAAATAAAAATTTCAAAAAAATGAAAAAAACTTCTGGAGATACCATGGATTAGAACCTACATACCAAATTTCATTGAAATCGGACCACAGGTGTAGTCCCTAGCTCTGTACACATCCAGACACACAGACACACACACACACACACACACACAGACATCACTTTGAAAACCACTTTTTTGGGTCCAGGGGGACCCAAAACGAATATATCCACTCAAAACTCAAACTCGAAAATTTTGACGAAAACAATACTTTCTCCATATACTATGGTATAGGGGGAGAAAGTAAAAATAAAAATCGAATGAAGGCTAATTGATAAAAAAATAGGTCTTAAAAAAATAAAGTTAAAAGTAAAACAATAAGCATAATGTTCACTTGAACAAAAAGTTAGTGTCGCCGGCGAGATTTGAACCGGAGACCCATCGATTACCAGTCCGAGACGCTATCAACTACACTACGAACATATAAACATATAAATTCCACCTAAGGTTAACCCTATTATTAGTTCAGTGAGTAGTGAGTTGGCACTTGGCTTCGACTGGGAGAACGGGTGAACCAGCGAGCACATAATAATAATAATAGAGAGGACACGGCGTTTAACCAAATGCACTGAAAGTGTGGCCAAATCCGCCATCTTGGTCCGTCATACAGCCTGAATCCAAGACCCGCGAGCTCAGTTCGCATTAAAAACCCCGCAACAAATACACGATCATAAACAACATTAATAGTTGACAAAAAATTCTGAAATTTTGCACACTTGTAGATATGATACTGAGAAAAACGATGGTGTTAATATAAAATTATTAGTTATGATAGTAATTGAGTTATAAATATGTTTAATACTTATGTAGTTTAATTTTTCAAATTCAGACATGAAAAAGTTGTATTGCGAGGAAATTTTTTATTTTTTGGTCAGAGAAATTTCGTCAGCGGGAAAGTTGTGGATAAATAACCAAATTTAACTATACGATTCACCAAAATTTTTTATCATGTTCGGTTTTCTAAAAAATCAGGTACAAAAGGGATCCATTGCCGCTGCTCCGCGCCACGCCGCTGCACCGCCGGCCGTCTTCTATACATTTAGCGTGCAGTGTTTTAATAATTTATACTGTTGTACTGTAATATTGTATATATTAATGACATTTTCAAATATATTGTCTATGTAAAATTTTCAACCGTTTAGCACAACTTTTTAAGGACTAATTAGCTTTCAATATCATCCAAGATAAACTAAAGATAATTCTGTAAGTTAAATTAAACTTCCCAAATATATTTGTAAAATTACACTCAATTTATTGCCCCAGAAAAATTACAGTTTTATTGAGATGTTGCCTGATTTTATTTTTGTGAAGACTTTCGTTACTTATTTTACAGTAGTAGCAAACTCTAACATTGGAATATTTTTGAGCAATAATTTTAATTAGGTACGAAACAAAAATGATTTTTGTCCATATTGTTTCATATCCTGAGAAATGTGTAATATTTGGAAACAAATTTACACCTACACATTGTCCAAGTACTTTGTTCGTTAAGTCCTCAATTACATTGTTTTCCTTTACACTAATATCGTTAACTTTATATCTACACTATTCTCATCAAGCATAGCAGACGACTAGCGCGCTGCACACGCCGGGACTACTGTTGGGGAAATAAATATGTGCACTCGAGTTTGAGCCTAAATATCTCTTGAGATGAACTATCAGATTTTGTTGAGACAAAAATTAAATATAATCTGGTTTAAATACATTTTACGTGGTAAAAATTAAAAAAATTCCGTTTACTAGAAAAATTTATATAGTTGAAAGATCCTAAAAAGTACCGATTTTTAAGAAACTCTGCACTAACACTGAAGTTTAAAATTTAATTGTAAACAAACTACTCAGCCAATATTTGTGAAATTGTTATGGCTTATTGGTAGGTTTTTTGTTAACAGTTCCATGCATTTTAAAATTTTTACTCACAATAGTCTTTATGGTGATGTTTATTTTTAAAACGTATGCTAACATCGTTAATAAGACGCTAAAAATGTCGTTCAAAATGCCATCGTGTTTGTCGTGACACAAGAAATAAAATAACACTAATATGACAGATTTATAATGTGAACAAAGATGTTTTTTTAAACAGATATATATTTGTAAACAAAAATTTCTCCCGCGATAAAAAAAATCGATTTACTACGGTAAAAACAATCGATTTACTTTAAGACATTTCCAACAATATACTAATACGATAATGTACTTCCAGAAAAACATAAGTAATTTTTATACAAAAGTATTTTTACATTTAAACAAAGCCTATGTAAACAACACTGACTCGAAGCATAGCAGACGACCAGCGCGTTGCTGACGCCGGGACTAGGCTAGCGCCGCCATCTTTGTCCGTTTCGTCGGCTAGTCAGACTGCCACGCTCCTCCGCTCCGAGTAGCGCTTCTATTTTGTTATGTGTTCGCTGGGGTGAACAAAGTAAGGTTAACCGGTTGCAGTCCTCTTTCTCTTTTCAGTACGATGTATCCGTTCCATTCCATCCATCGTCATCGAACGAGTGTCACTTGTCACAGCTCCCATGGAACAGTTTGTGTGCGCATGCGAGTTGAGTGGAGTCGGAGTCGGACGGAGTGAGGAGTGAACTGAGTGAAGATGAAGTAGAGTGCACTGAGTGCAGTGAAGTTTGGTTCGTCGTTCTCGTTTCGTTCCTTTCCTGTTTTCGTTTTCCTCCCTTGTTCGTTCGTATTCGTGTTCGTATTCCATATTCGTATTGTAAGCTATTGAATATTGAATGAATAGTTAAGAAAAGCAAAAACCTCAAGCAAGAACACCATCCAAGTAACACATTTTAGTGTATTTATCGTCCTAAGGTGGGTGAATTTATTCAAACTGTATAGTTAGTCTTATTGTAAGCAAACGCCTAAACGAACTCGTTCTAAATTTACCTTTGGCTGGTCCAAGGATTCGGGTTGTTTCCTGATTAGACCCATGGTAGGCCCAAGTTACCACCGGGCTTGAATTTATAACCTGATGATTTTTCGTGATTTGCCTTGTTTGCATGGCAAATCTGATTCAGTAATATTGGTCAATTAATTGTCAGCTAAACTTCAAAATTCTTCTGCAACAACTTTCAAACTTGGGCCTCTTCTTACATTTTCCCCAGACAAGGTCTACACTTTGGAGGCCATAGCGGGTACACTTCCATAACTTATCTGTTGGCACAAACAACGGAATGAGTAATATTGATTATTCAATTGTTTAGTTCGATACCTACCTAGGCCTAACTTATATCATTTGGTTAGTAAGGTTAGGGTAACCTTACCTAACTAACCAACCGATAACTTATAGCTTATTAAATAATCGATATAAGTTATCGATTGATATTTTCATTCGGTTGTTTGTGCCATAGCACATTCGGGAAGTGTACCATAGCTGTGGGACATACATAAGCCTAGACTAAAGGTCAAATTGCTTATTTTTTACGCAGAGGATACTCGTCTGGTAAGTAACCGGACGTGGATTAGGCGTCCGGCAGTTACTATCATAACCTAACCTAACCAACCAAACCTGCTGATGATGAAAAAAAAAATCAAATGAAGGTTAAATTCTGTTCATAAAATAAAGTAATAAATAAATGCCAAACATTCTAACAAAAGATGAACAGTTAAAAATAAATGGCATAATCTTTGACCAAAAAAAGGTAGGCTTACCGGCGTAGCCTACAGTCTCTTAACTGGGCTATGCTAATATCGATTCGATTAGTAAATCTTCATGCAATTTTTTCACCATCAGCAAGTTTGGTTGGTTAGGTTCTAAGGTTATGATAGTTTAGTTTTAGGCTATAATAGACAGATTTTAAAATATCGATTACCATCCAGTATTTTCAATTTGATAGTTTCAATCGATATTAGCATAGCCCAGTTAAGAAACTGTACCCGGCTTACCTATGGGATTCGAATCAGAGACCACCTGCATATCAGCCGAGCACTCTGTCCACTACACCATGAACACCAATGGCTGAACATTGTATCGTCGTGGTATTTAATGGCGTTCTGGGCCTTCACAACCCGGTGACGTCACTGCTGGATGCCTTATCCACGTCCGGTTATCGGATGCGTATCCTCTGTGTATTTTTAACCCTCGAGCAGGCGCTTCACCAGTAAGTAAAAAAGGAGCGGGGGCACGAAGAGTTTTATCCCGCAACACTAAATAGCAAAAATTTTACCTATTTTCTTGTTAAAATGCAATATTCTAGCCTATGTAAATGTTTAATAACCTAATCCTAATTTCATTGTTACTAAGTATTTGTCAACTAAATATGATTTATTTTATTTTAATTATTTTGCTTCCAACGGTCGAAACAAACCAATTTACAATTGGTATTTCTTTAACAATACTTATTCAAGGTCACTAAAACCACAGAAAACATACTAGGGCCTACTATAACCCAGAATGCCAACCGCATGGTAAAAAGCATTACTGTAAGTGTTTTGAGAGAGCTTTGCCTGTCAATGCGTAGGCAGCGCCACCAGCGTTGCTATGCTGAGTGCATGGCAACGCTGATGGCGCTGCCTACGAATTGACAGGCAAAGCTCTCTCAAAACACTTAATGCTTTTTACCACGGGGTTGGCATTCTAGGTTATAGTAGTAACTTATGTTTTCTGTGCTATAACTAAGGGTCAAGCCAAACATGCAATGGGACCTAAGATTAATATTTCAAATAACTTATTGAACAATTTTCTAGTATAAAAGTATCACTGTTCATGTGACGAGAGAGGGTGCGTGCGGAGTTATGTTCTGCAATAAGTTACCCTAATGCAATTATAAGTTACATATAACTTATGTAAACAAAATCTATATTTAACAAAATATAAGTTATTCATTTAAACTTAGTGTATAAAAAATGAAATAATTAATACATTTAAACATGTTTAGGCTATATTTTTGTATGTAGGCTATAAAATATAGCCTACACACAGTTAGAAAAATTGTGTATAAATATAAACAATATGGTAGGTAGGTACCTAATAAGTTAATATATAAACTTTGTTTTACAAGGTCATAAGACATGATAGTGAACCTTATCAACATTCAAAAAACCAATGTGAGCCTCCTCAGGTTGATTTTCTTCAATAGGATGTCTTTAAATAGAACATCAGCATGCACGTTATCTTCTCCTTTTCTGTACTCAAAAAGTTTACTGTATGTCAAAGTTGCATTGATTCAACTGGAGAGCCCACCTCACTAAACGGCAATTTACTTCATGTTGTATGTTGATTGCCAAGTGATCCATGTAAGTCCAAAGAATAGGATTACACACCTTTTGACGTCAAAGTCTATATTGTCAAATCATACAAAAACTTGTTTAAAACATACCGTGTCACAGTCTTTCCGACACACACGTACCAACACACATTACCGGTACAAAAATACATTTAAAGTAGCCTAGGCCTACTAACTAATTCGTGGTAAACGGCAGCGACGGTAGTCACACAGTACAAATCTTGACTGGAAAACACATTTGTCATTCAACAAGAAATTCTCATTCAGGGTCTTGAAAACGATTTTATACTTTACTACACTTATAAGTTAACTTAGTCAAAGTTCAATTCTTATACTATCCTCTAAACCTGATATAACCCTCATATCTTTCTTTAAGCCTTATTTTTAATCCTTTACCGTACTTAAAGAAAGATTACAAATTGAGCTCAATTTATTTTTGTTTCAGATGCCTAACATTAAGCTGCAAAGCTCCGATGGGGAAGTTTTTGAGGTCGATGTGGAAATTGCAAAATGTTCAGTAACAATCAAGACTATGCTGGAAGATCTTGGTAAGTTTTAAGTTTTGTTTACACTAAGTTAATTCATTACCGATTTTCATATTATGGAATTAAACTTCCCATGTCAGACTTGGGGGATTCTTTTATATGCCTAGTGTCTGGGTAGTAAATTAGATCATAGATAAGAGTATAAAGCCTAAAAAGAGCTATTGGCCTTGGGAGCTCTAGCTGTATTAGGCCTACCTATATATCATTTGTATAATGATAAGTAGCATCTATATATTAATACGCAAGCAGTTTTCTTTTCACAGTCAAAACTCAATAACGGCTTGATGGATTTTAAAGTTTGAGGTGTAAAATTAAAGGCATTTTCATGTAGATGTGCAAATACGTCTCAGAATATTTAGAAAGGGCACCACGTAAGTACACTTAAGGGCTTATGGCTTAAGGGATTGGAAGGCGGCGCTATCTGTTGACATTTGATCAAACTCATTTCCCTTTGTTTACAAATAACATATGGACGTAGTTTAAAATAGTTTTTAAGGTTAACCACAGACTGCAGCAGGACTTAAAACTTCCAGAGCAAAGCTGGAATTTATATTTTGTTTCAATATGTTAACTAAGTCTGATTCATAATGAAGAGTTTCCTATCAATACTAGACAACAAGGTGTTAGGGAATAAATATTTAATTCTTTTTGTCTATGGTTAAATTGATTTACCTTACATCGTATTTTACTGTTTATCATGTAGTTACAGTTCGATGTGATGAAGTGAATGTTTAAAAGTGATTATTCACAGGGCAGTTATCCGTTACATTACCATATTATCATGTAATTTACAATGTGTATCAAAACTCCAATTCCTTTATAGTGTTTTCTGTTGTTTGTTTAACTTTCTTATTTCATTTCAAATCAAATGCCGCCAGTACGACGAAGAACTGTGAGTGGCTGGAGGGAACGCGAACATGACCGCTTGCATCAACCTCTCAATTGAACATTTGATGGGTTCATAGTGGTAGTACCACCGTTGTGATAGTCCAATCTCGGACAAATGAACGTTAAATGTTTACATGTAGTGGCTTACATATTTTTAAGCAAGAAAAGACTGGCCGAGACTGTTCAGTTTATACTCTTTGTTGCCATAAATGAAAGGTTCGTTTAACTCATTTGTGCAATTCACCACGGGTTCTTATTGGAAACTCCCAATCTGAAAATAGGACTGTGAGACTTATATCAAGAAATTATTTGGATTAAGTTCGTCAATTCAGTTCTGCCTTTACCATGGTCAGCTCCAAAGCTCATTAAGATGAGAAAGTTCCACAGGGGATCTACAATTTTAAGATCCGTGACACGTTTTACCACCGAGTGGGTCCTCTAATTCCTCAAGAATGTGATGATTCTGAATACGCACAGATATATAAGTAAGTACGACAAGTTACTAGAACCCAAAGGACCAGGCACAACTGTGTGTAAGCGCAATTAAAAAAAATTCAATGAAAAAATACACGGGAAATAGGGTCACAATGCCAACCTATTTGCAAATCTGTGAAGACTGTGGCAGACATTATGTGGGGACGAGAGCTCCGAGGAGTCAAGTGAGATTCTTATGTACATAATAAGAGACAGAAGAAGTGTCTTCCCTCGCTACAATGGTGCTACCTGTGTAGATTTCGCAGCAATTTTTAAAGCTGAAAACAAAGCACCACCTGGCCAAATAAATCGTATAGTTTTTTCCAACACTAATAATGTTAAACGCGTATCCATTATAGATCTGTCGTTAGATCCACTTGCTTACCCTCTTCAACCGGAGACTTGGGTTGGGGCCCCTAATTTAAACACGCCTAAAACAGAACACATCAAATAAATAATTTAACAATGCTAGAATAAGAGTAGCGATGGTTGGCGTCAAGAGAGGAATTGAGCTACATTAGGTCAAAAGCTCACTTTACAGTGTGTGGTTGACATCTACGTGCTCATATAGTGCACCCGCGTACTATACATAAGAGATAACCAAAGCAATATGAGAGTGAATGTAAATTTAAATATTGTAGATTGCTTTTATATTTTTTTACATCATAATATTTTTATATTTCTATAATCAGTCATATAAATTATTTTAGAGTGACTGTTTGATTAAGGTCTTGCTGTTTATGTTTTTTGTTTATTTTTTTATACAATTTCAGTTTTGCTCGATTTCGAGCAACAGGTTATCTAGTTGTCTTTATCATTCATTTTCATACTAGTTAAATAGCTGAAACACTGACTCAATGTTTACTAACATTATTATCTAAAGGTGCTTCAAGATAAAACTGCTACCTTACTGCTGGTTCCTTATCGTTTATTTATCTGGTTTTAACCAATAATACACCGAATATGTCCAGTCCAGCTATTTTTAAATGAGACATAATTAATAATTTTATAGGCCTCAAAATTATTCCACATCCACCCACTTAAAAAAATTTTTTCTCTAGTTTGGAAATGTTTACCCGCAAAAATAACCTTGGTCCACATAGGTCTAGAAGAGGAGAACATGTCCAAGGAAGACCATAAAAGATACCCCTGTCGCGGCAAACCTGCAACCTTAGCAAATTCCCTTTTTCCTGACTGATTTCCGCTAAAATATTCCCTTCAAATCATCAGATTTATTTTCTATAAAACAAAAAAAACAATGATCCTATATACCTGTATTAATAGAAAAGCATGTTTCTTGAAAAACCTGCTTGTGTGCATCACCAGCAAAATCTACGCATACTGGTAGAAAAACACCAGTACCTGTAGAAGTGGAGAATCCTTTAATAAATTAAAATACCCCGCCGCAGCAAACCGGCAGACTTAGCAAATTTCAACTTGTCTGATTACATATTTACTAAAACGAGATGCTAGCCCGTCCTACGTACGGGAATTGAGAAGTCAGTTAAAACTGTGTACAGTTCAGAACAGCTAGTTTACACGTATTAAGACAAAATATTTTCTCGCAGTTTTAATGTGAAAAATCGTCTTGTAAACAAAATGTTGCTTGACCAAATATGTTTTATTTCATTATAGGCCTATACGATATGCATTTTACATCCGATAATTTTACAATAAAACAGCAATTGTGACAATGTGAAAAGCGTTGAAGTGAGATTTGCGGCCGATTCGCACACTGATTATAAGTAGCCTACAGTAGAGAGTAATAGCTTTGACTACTAATATAATAATTCAGTATCCAATAGTCAATAGTAATAGTCAATTGAGAAGTGTATAGACCTAGTCAACAATACCACCTTCCATCGCATACCTGCCCCTTCCATATTATCACCATAATACAATTACTCATACTATAGGCTACACAATTTCAAGTAGGTCTGAATAGAAACTACCTAAAATAAAACGATATTATCCAATAAAATTCACAGTAGGCCTGCACATAATATAGCTTTGGTATCCTAACATCATTAAACGTATCAATTTCACTGAATCAATTGCTAAATAAATAAATAAACTTCACAAAACTCAGGATAGGGGCCTAGGTTGATACGGCAATGATTATAGAATCTTAATTATTTCGAGCTGTTGGCTCGTCCTACGTACGGGAATCGAGTAGTCAATTATATCTGAATATGATTCAAAACAGCTAGTTTACAACTTGGTGGCCGATTCACACACACTGGCTTTGAGTACAGTAGCTACATAACACCTTCCACTAAATACTATCACTTACCGTACCTTATTTTACCACCTTGGCCACTGAAACCTCTAAAATGATCCTGGCCTCCCGTTCTCTTCTATCCCCTGCCATTTCTAAGGAAGATACCAGTCTGAAGATGTCTTTCATTACTTGGTCTTCTTAAGTGGTCGTCTACCTTGTAGTACTACTTGGAATACACTTTTAAAAGTTGAAGTATCTTCTCTCCACCTCGCAAAGCCTGCCCAGCCCACCCGAGCCTTTTGGTCTACTTTTGGAATGTACCCCTTTATGAAGATTCTGAATCATACAGTACTACTGGGATAGTTATGAAATGGTATGAATCAATTTTGGTTTCTACTGACACCCTGCAGCTTACTGGTCAGTTTTCTGGAGACCTACTACACCAGTTGACATTTTCATTACGAATAAAATGTGTACTGTATGCAGTCATACTTATATTCAGACATATAGAAAAAGATGTTTCAACACGTAAACCACTTATATCTTAAACGATTAAGCACTTATACTTAGACGGATTACATTTATGACAAAACTTGATTATACGTTTAAAAATGTTCTCCTGATAAAATAAATGTTGTTAGGAAAGAAACTACATTTAAAGTGAAATAGTGTGTAGGCAAACTCTAACTATCAATATTTTTGTATACAAACAACTTGTAACATAAACTTTTCAATGACAGTTAGAAACCAGCTGTTAGTTAAACCACCTCTAAAACGACTTTAACTCGTTCGTTGGCTGCTAGACTTTTTGAAAATTAAGACTTAATTTCTAAAAAACTGGGACCCTAAACTAAAATTATGGCTTCGACATTCCCTAGTTCTCAAAATTATCTTTCTTTCAAACACAAAAGTCATGAAAATCCGTCAAGTGGTTGATTCAGAATCGTGAAATAAAAAAAACCTATTACGTTTTAATATTATAGATATTTCCATAAATAAGACATATTTATTCCCAATTTAAATAACATTTAACGAGTGCTTAGGTTTGCTGCTAGAGCTATGAGAAGGAATTGAGCTTAGAATGGCTGAAAAAATAACAAGTTGTTTTCTTCTAATTTGAAAGTTATCGTTGTGTTGAAGGAATGTTAAACATGAAATAACAACATTGACTAAATAGGCCTAATAAATGATTCAAGATTAAATGGAAAAATGATGATTTGTTTTTATTTCAAAACATATGTTCAAGATTTATTCTACACTTTTTTTTATATTTACTAACATTTTTAATTCGAGATTTATTGTTTAATCAAAACTAGCTGTTACCCCTTTCAACCCATCAACAAATAAAGCAAACAAAGACGGTCAACAAACTGTTTTTCACACAAAAGATATATTTTTTTTTAAGGGAGGAGGGAAAATGCTTTTACGCACACAGGTAGCCAGGCCTGTAGTGTGAGACTCCTGAATCTATCACAGACTACTCACTAAAAAACCCCCTCTACTCTGTTGGACACAGACGTGGAATTGTTTGTCACATTACTTCAAGTCAGGCCAACACGTGACCTAAGCCCTCAGGGCTCTCGCCGTTTTTGGCATTTAAAATAGAAGTGAAGTAAACAATGGCAACTATGGAATCTGCCTTCGAAATGATGGGCCTCCTCTTGCTGAACATCTTGGTCGTTGCTGAATAACATACATTTAACTTGTACATTAGGCCTATATTTTTCTGTTTGATTTTTTTACGATCATGGTTAATCTTCTGTTGTATGGTTAATCCACTTGTAAATAATCAGTCTACTGTATTTCTTAGATAGTATGTTTTATCCGATTGTGTGACCTCAGGTATGGATGAGGACGAAGAGGAAGTTGTGCCTCTGCCCAATGTCAACTCTGCCATCCTGAAGAAAGTGATCCAGTGGGCAACCTACCACAAGGACGACCCCCCACCTCCAGAGGATGATGAGAACAAGGAGAAACGAACAGATGATATCTCCAGTTGGGATGCTGACTTCTTGAAAGTGGACCAAGGAACTTTGTTTGAACTCATTCTGGTAGGAATTCACCAATTAGCCTATTCTCTTTTTGGGCGATTCTCTGGGAAGTGGTCCTGCTTTGTTATTTTCAAGAATTGATTAAAACTGGTTAAAATATTGCTTTTTAGCGAATTTCCCTATAGGGAAGTAGCTATTACCGTAGGTCTCATGGTAAGACCTAAGCCCGGGACCGATTTACTTTTTCATTTTGATGTCCCCATAGGCCAAAAACACCATTCGTTCAAATTTTTATATATCTATATATAGAGATATATATATATATATATATGTGTCCATCCGCACGATAACTTGAGTAATTTTTGTCCGATTTTGATGAAATTTGGTTTGAAGGTGTAAGGCGGGATAAACTTGAATGAGTTCGCGAACCAGCATGATCGGACTATGGGAACGGTGGTTTATGGGGGGTTTTATGGGGTAAAAATAGGTTTTTCCCATTTTTGACTCTAAAAACACCAAATTTCTAAATTTCTTTTCAAACCATTTTGTAGAGCTTAAAAAAACAAATAATTTAGTATATTGAAGCGTTATTATGCGCCTAATTGTTACGGAGAAAATTCAAAAAAATTGTAATTTTAAAATTCCCATGTTATTCTTATGGAGCAGAAGTCAACTGTTGTAGTTTGCTTGTTTATGAAAATATTTTAATCAAATTTGGAAAATACATTAACTTCTTACTAAACCACAGTACCTTTTAACATTTTACATAAAAAAACTTGTTTACCCTCCCTGTTGCAGCAAACCTAAGTACTCATTAAACTAATTCTGTTTAAATAGGGAATAAATGTGATATTTTTAAGGAGACATTTTAGTTTAAATCCAATCAGGCAAATGGAAATTCGCTAAGTCTGCAGGTTTGCTGCGGCGGGGGTATTATATAAAACAATAATAAAATCTCCCTTAACCAGTCTTTAAAATTAAAATAAAAAATTATTTTTCATGAAATGAAGCTTCAAACTTGGGCAAGTTCTATTACAGTCAAATGGTACTTTTTTCCAGAATTTTAAGTAAAAATGTTTATAGTTAGATGAGTCAATAAATTGAAATAACTTATATTAGTAAATAATTGAAAATATAATTTGTTAAACCTTTGTAAAATAAAAAAGAAATATTAAATAGATTTTGAGATACAGTACAGTCCCGCAAACTCGGCCTAATGTGGACCCGTCAACTATTCCCTTTCCATGGGAAGTAGCAAAATACTTCCATGTAAATGGTTCCTTAAACTGGAGGCTTAGTTGTTGTCACAAATATACCATAATATCTGTTCTTACTCGAGGGTCCATTAGTCCATAATATGTCTTCTTCAACATCATCCCACATATCAGGAACTTCTCAGCCACTTTCCCGCCATTTTCAGGTAAAGAGTAAAACAGTATAACTAAATTATAATTTGCCATTTTGATCATGTCATTAAATATATAAACTTAATAATTTATGTGTGTCACTTGTATCAAACTTAATTGAAGAGAGTAAACATTTAATACGAAATTTCTAAATAAAAACCACGTTGTACCTAGGAGTACCCCATTTAAATAACTTTTTTGAAGAAAAATGTAATAAAATCTCAGTTTAAATGTTTTTTCCTGTTACAACATACAAATTGAAACCTAAATGTTCATAAATTTTCTTTTTTATTATTATTATCCCTATCATAATCACCCAAGAACGTTTGTGTCCCGTGCAACACACGACATGCCTATCAAATATGATTTAAAAAAAAGTCAGTAACCGATTTATAAAAATCCCATTATAAAACATTATTAGTTAAGTAAATCCATCAAGAATATCTACATCAAATTAACAATAACAAATTATCTCAGAATTCACAGAAATAATTGTAGACAAGCAAGGTAAGTGAATGTCGCTCTTCGTACGAGTCCCGTGCAACACGCTTCTAATACCATTGCTACAAAAAAAGTAAAAGTTATGAAACTTATTCATCTATACTTGTACAATCTATGACCATAAATGTAGTACTCCAAACATCAATAGCAGACTTTTAAGTCATTTTTATTGATTTATATAAAAAAGTGTTGTCTGAATGTCCCGTGCAACACACCGAGAATCACTCTTTTTTACTGGTGAGCCTTATAGGCCGGGCGCCACATGGGCGTATGAAGTACCGGTATGACCAAATTTGACTTTTGATTATTGTTGGGGACATATAGTAGATCAAAAAAATCAATGATGTCGCATTTCTAGGGTGGTCACAACACTTGAGGGGGGGGGAGAAGGGGGAAATTCGCGTGCGTCAGTGTTTTACGTTTCCGCGTCTAACTCTCAAACGGTTAATGATAGAAAGGTGGTTTAAACGTCTATCTACGCCTAAATATATTGTCCTTCAAAAAGGTTATTACAACCTTTCTTCTATCTCTAATGCTTTAAGCCCCAATCAATGTTTATTGCAAAAAGGAAAGTTTGAAACTACTTCAAAATGAAATATCGGAAATATTGTACGCATTTAAGACATGTTACAGAAGATTTGTGGTTAGAAAAACTAACAAGTAGTACAACAACACCAAGTTTAAGGAAATCTGTTGAAAAACAACAGAGCTTTAATTCTGTAAGAGTAGATGTGGAAAATTCGTAGTACAGTAGACTCTGGGATAATTCTAGGAAAGCTGGATTTTTCTATGCTGTTAGACCTTGTTGAGATGAGCATTTTCTTCCCAAAAGTCCCCACTCCTCCCCCTTGTGCTTTCCTCTAACCCCCCCCCCCCCCTCCTTTTTAGATACATTTACAGTCTCTTAGAAATTTAGCTATAGCTATGTTAGCCTAAATATTCACAGTCAAAAAAGTATCATAAACATAAAAAAATAATTTTTACGGATTCATTTAATGAAACTTTTCCCTGTCGGTTTTTTATATGAGGTCGCACGACAAAATGTTTGGTATACAATTTCTGGTGCATAGTTTACGATTTAAAATGATACATAGTTATTAACAGTTTCTTTGCATATAGTGCTTAATATAGATATTACGGTCAATTATTTTACAGGACTCTGGCTTTTATGTGCGCCGCAACAATGAAAACAATTTACATATATTATGATTGTTGTATTTGAATTTACCCGCTTTATATAGATTATTATATTTAACGTTCTGTAGTTCATTTAATAATACATATGAATGAATATTGTGCATTTGCTGTTGTATGCCAGTGCCTCATTTACACCCTCTTACCTAAAGTGAACCAATAGCTAACTTTTTTATTATGAGATATATAGAGTTAACATCTTATGGGTTAACCCCCCCCCCCTTTATTTTTTTATGTTTTTTGAGTGGATTTTAAAAATATGTTCTCCAGTTTCCAATATGGCTGACAAATTTGTTATTCCTATGGAATACCCTGTATGTTATGATTGTTTAGAATGTAACGCACAATTTTTAAACTTTTATTCGTGACATTTTTCTCTAAAGCTACAATAAATATTAATTGGGGCCTAAAGTATAAGAGATAGAAGAAAGGTTGTAATTACCTTTTTGAACAATATATTTAGACGTAGATAGATGCTTAAACCACCTTTCTATCATTAACCGTTTGAGAGTTAGACACGGAAACGTAAACCACTGACGGACAAGACTTCCCCCCTTCCCCCTCGTGTTGTGACCACCCTAGAAATGCGACATCATCGATTTATCTACTAGATATCCCCAACAATAATCAAAAGTCAAATTTTTTCAGATTTTCAGTGCATACTACACCCGTTTAGCACCTGGACTATTAGTGGATTAATGAGTCATGGAACTAAATTTTTCAATAAAGAATAAAGATTTTGATCTGTATTACGACAGAAGTTTTGGGTATTTTCAGTTGCAGTATCCAGTCCGATTCCACATTTCTGTGAGGAAATATTAGTGATTAGATTAAGTACACCACAGTGCTTTATTTGATCATTGAAGATTATTTGTATCTGCTCGCGCCTAGTGGCGTCAGAAAGGAATGTTCCTTGCTCTCTGAATAGCCCTTGTAAAATTTGAAAATATCCTCAGCAAAATATCTCACAAATATAGACTTTTGTTTGTCATAAACAATATGCTAATCCGGTGTGCTCCTTGCCTTAATAGTGTCATTATTGATAGTAAACTCAAACAAATTGTCAGGAAATTAAATATTTTTAAATTTCAGGCTGCCAACTATCTGGACATTAAGGGTTTGCTGGATGTCACATGCAAGACTGTGGCCAACATGATCAAGGGCAAAACTCCAGAAGAAATCCGTAAAACTTTCAACATCAAGAACGACTTCTCTGCCAGTGAGGAAGAGCAAGTCCGTAAGGAGAACGAGTGGTGTGAAGAAAAGTGAAGTGAAGGGCAACAAGTTTTTGAAATTCTTTTTATACAACTTGTAATATTTGATACACATTTCAGAAAAAAGTGTGATAGACAGTAATCTACTTCTTCAGAAATTAACACTGCTTTGGCCCAAACATGGAAGGCCATGTACTGGTGCAATTTTCCAGTTTTATTCTAGATAAATTTTGGGTAATATTGTTTGAGTGCAACACTTGTAATGAAATTTTGTGGGCGCAATTATTTTCTTCTCGTATATAATTCAATGTGACGTATTATTAATAGTTCATTGTAGTTAAGTCTTTACAAGATACATAATAATTTGTAAATATGACTGTACTATTTGGAAAATACATAATATTTAATTAGTTCTTTAAAAAAGGATTTTTTTAAACTTACCTTCTCACTTATTTTTAAAACATGCATAAATATAAGAGAAAAAACAATTTCAAACAATTAAGCTTGTTAAACCTGTGGGGAAACAATGCGGAAGCTCCGTTATCATGAAACTGCAATTTTCACACATTTCATCAACAACATTAGCCATCAGTTCTTTACTCTTTAGTGACGATGTTCTGGCTAATACTGTACAATTACTCTTCTCGTCCTTATGAATCTTGAGAGTTTGGCCGTTTCTAAACTGTAAGCACCATTATTTATGGACGGATCTTTCATTCAATGTTTTTTCCGTACACTTCTTGCACTCTACTATAAATTTCTATTGATTATTCAAAAGTTTAAGCCAACAAAAACCTTATTACCTTACCATACCGCTGTGGCCACTCAAACCAACGTAGGTTTTTGGCCTCCGCAAAGATGATCAGTGTGTTTAGTAGTTGGGGAAAAACGGGAAAATTAGTAATCAACATATATATTAAAATGTGACAGGGTTTTTTTGATTTCACGATTTTTGTGCTGAAAGGAAGATAGTTTTGAGAACTAGGGAATGTCTAAGCCATAATTTTAGTTTAGGGTTTCAGTTTTTTAGAAATTAAGTTTTAAATTTAAAAAAGTCTAGCAGCCGACGCTAACATTCTACTAACATGGTCTTTCGGTATAATACCATTTGCTTAACGTAACAGCTGTAAACATTCAGCGATTTCAACACAAATTCAGCATTTGGGTGAAAATTAAAAGACATGTAGGGTTGACTTATTTATACTATGTGTAATGCTATAATTATTGAAAAATTCATTTGTTCGTTAAGAGGATGACATATTATTCGAATATACATTGTAAAATACTAGATGTTCTAATTTATCTTTTTTAGCAGTCTTTAAAATCTGTAGTTTGTATTAGTGCATATAATTTTTGTTGACCAACAGCTGGTTGAGTATAAAAATATTATTAAAAATATCATATAGAACTATGAGGTTAGTTTATTCACTACGGGGGTTTGTAACGATTATAGGAAATAAGTAAGATTCTATAATCATTGCTGTATACGAATCAAAGCTCACGAGTCATCAAAAGAAAGCTTATGAAAATTATTTTACTACTGTACTCGACTTTTTCTGGAAAGGTTGGGAAAATAACAACTGTCACACGTTTAAATTAATCTTGGCAGGTTTTTCTTTGCAATAAATTTTGAACTGCTTAAACTAAGCTTGAATTAGGAGTATACATACATATTTGATCTAACTAGATACAGTTTTAATGGACTACTCGATTCCCGTATGTAGGACGGAACCAGCTCAAACCGACGTAGGTATTTGGCCTCCGCAAAGATGATCAGTGTGTTTAGTAGTTGGGAAAAACGGGAAAGTCAGGAATCAATATATATATTAAAACATGACAGGGTTTTTTAAATTTCACGATTCTGATTTAACCACTTGACGGATTTTCATGATTTCTTTTTGAAAGAAAGATAATTTTGAGAACTAGAAAAGGTCGAAGCCATAACTTTAGTTTAGGGTTCCAGTTTTTTAGAAATTAAATTAAAAATTTTAAAAAATCTAGCAGCCGACGCTAACATTCTAAACTAGCTTTTGGTATAATATAATTTGCTTAACATAACAGCTGTAAACATTTAGCGTTTGTGACACAAATTCAGCATTTGGATGAAAATGAAAAGACATATGTAGGGTTGACTTATTTATACTATGTGTAATGCTATAATTCTTAATACGTTCAATTCTTCAGTAAGAGGATGCCAGATAAAATACTAGATGTTTGAATAATTTTTTAAAGCAATCTTTAAAATCTTCTGTTTGTTTTAGTGAAATATAATTTTGTTTTAACTAACATCTGGGTAAATATAAAAATATTCTATAGAACTATGAGGTTATTTTTAGTGATGTGTCAAAACCGAATCTCAAATCTCAAAACCATCAAAACTTTGGAAAAGTTTCGGTTTTGAGATTCGATCACCAAGTTTCGAGATTCAAAAGTTTCAAAATTGAAGATTTTGGCAGTTTTATTTTTGAAACTGCTGACATTTTTTGTGTCATTATTATTGTTAATAACACTGTTTCCACACAAGCTCGTAGCAATAGAGCAAACATATCACCATCAACAGTAATAAAACAAGTAAACTGTATTCTGAACTTCAAAAGGCATCTTAAATACTATAATTGGAACAACGTACGATTCAGTTTCATATCAATATTTTATAACACAAAAAAAAAATTGACTACTAAATGTTCTAACTAATCTAATATTCATGTTTATGTTGGTGTTAGGGGTTTAATTTTATTTTAATGTTGGTTGTTTATACAAAAATATGTTGTATTCGGGTTTAAGATTATCAGACACATATTTATGTTATGTCAGTGTCAGGAGTCGATCTCTTTCAGTTTTGATTGCTTAAAATTTTATTATTAACTGTATTTTTTGTAACCTTGACCCTTGTAACCAGCTAAGTAAAAAAGTTTCGCGTTTGGGTTTTGAGATTCGAGATTCGGGATTAGATTTTTAAAAGTTTCAGTTTCGAGATTAGAAATTTCTGGTTTTGACCAACACTAGTTATTTTATTTACTTTATGATTTTGTCATTGATTATCAGAAATAAGTCAGATTAGTAGAGATAATTAGACCACAGAGATGAGTAAGACCTTTGCTGTAATAGACCTGGAAATATTGATGTTGTCAAACAAGGAGATCAAGGATGACCAGGAATAACAATTTTAAATTACTACCACATCTGACGGGTTTTATCCAGAGATAAACAGATGGATGACATATTTTGAACACAACATAATCGACCTAGGATACTGCAATTAGACTTACCATCCTTTTATGAAATCTAAAAAGTTGTTTGGCGTGTGTTCATGTGTGGTTACGTTTGGGGGCGCTGATGTAGGCAAAATATCACTTTTATTTCAACTAAATATTTTATGGTGTGAATAAATGAATATGGGAAATTACGATGGACATAGATTCAATAAGGATGGGTAATTATCACGGATATCAGAACTGATTACGGCATGGATAATAAAAGTAGACAATTACGTCACTGGCTTTACTATCGTAAATTCCTTTAACATGTGACCAGATCTTTTTTTCAAATATTTGTTACTAGCAGAGTACCCTTCCTTCGTACGGGGTTGACATATAGGTATAAAATGCTTATTGCAGTTATACTCAAGCTTTGCGTTTACAATGGGGGAAGAACAGTTTAATAAAATTTGGTTCTTTAAATTTACAGTATGCTATAGTGTATAACACGTCTACTATTGCCATAATGCTCTAACACTGCTCCTAAACATCAGAAACAAGTTCTCAAACATTCACACAACATCAATAATTATTCATTAAATAAAAAAAAAAAAAAATATCTGTAAACAATCATACTTTGACAGTTCTCATTGTGTATCAAATGCCAAAAAGAATAACAGTGCTGCACCCTGTTGGGAATCCTTATAACTTTTTAATGCTATTTCATATCGTAGAACCAACTTGTTAAGTTGAAACAGCTGACTAAAATCTTTAATTCCTTTTAAATACGAATACTCATAAGGTTAACATGGGGAACTACTCAGCCACCGGGGGCGGAGACTGAAAGGATTTTTGAAATAAGAATAGGCCTATATGTTAATCGGGAATGTGAGCCATCGTCATGCCAAATTTCAACCCAATCCGTCCAGTAGTTACTGCGTGATTGAACTTCAAACAAACAAACAAACACACAAACTTTCACATCTTACTAATATTATAAATGTGAAAGTTTGTGTGTTTGTTTTAAGTTCAATCACGCAGTAACTACTCGACGGATTGGGCTGAAAACAACATAATCTTCAATTGCCGCAAAATCATGATTATCTTCTTCGGTCTTGAGGACATCATATTCGTCTCCTGCGGTCATGGAAAAACATCACCTTTTTCAGCAATTGTGGCAAAAATTTTTATATCTTCTTCGTTCTTTTAGACATCAGCTTTGTCTCCCGCGGTCACGAAAAACAACGTAATCTTTTTCTGTGATTGCGGTAAATTCATAAATATCTTCTTTGCTGGGAAGCTTCAGGAATAATTTTTAGGGTAGGCCTACAAAGATCGATAAGGAGTTTGATCAAGGAATGGTTTGGGAGGGCTTTTTCGCAAAATAGCGAGTTAAATGCTTCTTGAGGACAACTCTATTCTCTATACCTAAGGTAAACAAGTAAATAAGGTAAATAAATTATTTGTCATTATATCAGTAGGTATTTAGTAATAAGATAATTTTAAAATAACTACCAAAATTTTGGGTAGCCCTGGGCCTACCCTCTGGAGTTGACCCTGCTTTTTCGGTCTTGAAGACATCATCATCGTCTTCCGCAGTGTTATATATATTTTTCTATTTGTATTCCTTAACAACCATATGTTATTTTTATTATCCTGATGTTTTTACAATTATGATTATGAAAACATTGTTCTGAAATACAAGACTCATTTACAACACTATGTTGAAATAATATATTCTAATACTAATTATCTAATAATACTTCAAGTATTTTAGAGTGCCGACGAGAATAGGATCAGTTTGCAAATACGGAAACGACTTCACATTTTTCGTGATTGCAGTGAGCAGTGACAGTCGGACCTCTGGACCTTGGCGCATCGTGTGGATTGCGGGGTGTTATTTATGCCACTATGGGTGGAGTCATGCATTCCAGTCTGTAATCCTCTTAATCACGATTGGTTGACCTGTGGTTCTAGGTTGGCTCTAGGAGTGGCGAGAAAGCAAGTGTGATTTCTGGAAGTGGTGGAGAGGGGGTAGAGATAGGAGAGATGGCACTACGGGTGGAAGAGTGCTAGGGGTCTCAATCCCGGGGCCTTCAAACCAATCCTGGGATTTTGGGATTCGTCTCAGATCAATCCCGGGATTATATTATTTTAAATTTTTAGCCATATTAAATGAGCGTGAAGTCCCCTTGTTGAGTTATTTAAGTTTT